AACATACTTTAACGATTTAAGTTAATCATTCGTAATGCTATTCGTGCATATTCTAAATAAAACACATATTGAATAATTAGCCAAACATTGCATTTATTTAATTACGTATTTTAAATTGTTTAAAGATCTACACAGTACACTAGGCTAGATGTTTAAGAAAAAGTATTTTAAAGCATATTCGCTGTATATTCAATAAGAAATTTTTAAACAATGAGAAAGTATGGAAAGCTAAAAATGATTTCCAAATGTGAGTAGTAAAATTTTACCAATAATTTATTGATTCTTTCATGTTCTGCAAAAAATCTGACAAAATAAAGATCTCATAGAAAAAATGCCACAATTTAGCCTATAAATTCAAAAAATTCTGGTTAAAGAATGAAACCTAAACCAGTGCATATACAACCTGTAATTAACAATATTGACCACTTAATTGCTACAATTATTTTGAAATAAAAAACAGAAAAACCAACCAAACTCAATAGACCGTGTTTAAGTAATCGACCACAATTAAACAAGTAATCGAGTAATCGATAAGCATATTTAACATACTAATTAAATACCTGAATATTTATAAAAAAAAAATAATTAATTAAACAAATCAATTTAAAATATGTTCGTATACTAGCATGCTTTTAAAAGTAATACTAGCACGCTTTTAAAAAAATAGTTCCAAGTTAAAGTTATTATTTTAATAGTGTAGCTCTAGAGGGTACTCGTATGTACATAAGAGCAATTTATGCAAAATTCACAAGAAAAATAATTAAAGAATCTTTTTACAAAATATGCAAATTTTTTTTTTTTTTTTGTGTAGACATTTTTAGTTAGTTATTAATAATAGTAAGTACAGTATTTACATAGAAAATTTAACTGCAAAGCAAATACTTCATTAAGTATGCGAAATTAAGCTATTGTATACTAAGGAAAAATATATTTGTCGCCAGGCCGACATCTCTCTAAAAATAGTTTATTGACGCTGCTATACCATATAGAGAAATGCGTTTCCACAGAAAACTCGATATGTGAAATTTGATGCGATCACATATCCTCCCTTATGGTATGCAATGTGATCTGCAAAAATTAAAACAAATTTTTTTTAAAATATAAAATACAAATTTTATTTAGATTTTTAACAACATTAAAATTTGTTAATAAAAAAAAACAACTTGAATTTTAATTTTCCAATTTAATTTTTTTTCTCAGTGTAAAATTTTAAAAAATGATCATTGAAATTATTATCCATTTGAACTATAAATTAAAATTAGTAGTGTTTTGTTTTAAATTAAAAAATTATCTAAGATTTTAGTTTAGGATTCATACTACAGTTTTGTAACTAAAATATCATGTCTCGGCAATCAGTTTTTACTAAACAATTAGAGTTTGATTCAAAAATTTTAAAAATTAGACTCAGAATAGCTTGAATGAAAAACACGATCAAATTTCAACGCAATTTTCCCTTCGTTTATGGCATTACAATTAAGTTAATTATTATTATTAAATTTTTATTCTTTTCTTTGATTTCTTAAAATATTTCTTTGTCACGGTATCTTGATTGTCTTGCCATTTGAAACTCTTGATATTGTTTCATAAAAACCTTTAGTATAATTTTTCTTTTTATTTTAAAATTTTCCTTAGCGTCTCGCATTATTATATTCTTAATAATTTAAGGTTATAATTAAATATTTTTTTTTTTATTTTGTATCATAAATAATTTAATTACATATTGTTGATACCAAAACTAAATTATACTTATTGCATACTCATTGCTATGTCACAAGTATTTTACCTATGGAATTAAATTTACTAACCGAAATAGGTTAAGGTTTTTAACTGTTACAAGTAATATACGTATATATGTATGTAGATATAGTAACTTCAAATTGCTATTATAATTTAATTTTATATTTTTCATAGATCGATATCAAAAAATATTTTGATCAAAACTTATCAACACGCTAAAATATTATGTAAATTGAATATTTTAAATTCCAAAATGCATAAATAATACGAGTAATATGCGAATGTATATGTAATAAATTGTGTATATTGATGTAATTATGTAATGCAATTTCAAATATATACCCACTTAAATTCGTAATTGTATACTAGATTTTTATTTTATATTCATCTAACTTTATCATGCAGACATTTTTTATTAATTTGAAGTCAGTAACATGACATATACAATTATACGCACTTCTGATATCAATTTTTTTTTTCTTTTTTGTTACAAGTCAATTTAAATAATCAAATTTTAATATTTTATGTACTCAGGCTAAAAAATTTTCATTTATAAAAAAAAAATTGTTCACGACTAATTGAAGTTATCATGTAAATTCTCATATTTACTACACCATCACCAATACTTATTTAAATGTACTCGCTCGTAAAATAGTCGCAAAATTTTTGCATACAAGCATGAATTTTAAATTTTATTATTAACCCATTCAATTCATTCCAATTCAAAGTATTTCGTATTATTAAAGAAATTATAGTTGTAAGAAATGTAAGACAAAAAAAATAATTTTTGTAAATAATTATAATATGAAAGTCTGATCCCGGAAGAGGAAAGTTTAGGCAATTTTTTTATGAAATTTGTAATATCTATATAATTAGGTATAGTAATTTGCTAAAATGTTGAACCGGTTGGGAACGATTTGTTTAAAAAGCGGAAAATTTTTTTTAAGTTAAGCAGCCATTTTTTTAAATTTATTAAAATTGTTTTCAAAGAGACGCAATAATGTAAAAATATTTAAGACCAAACTAAGAAATTTCCAATAATTCCTCACTTATTTTTAAATCACACTATCTGCGTTCATTCATAATCAATGAAAATATTGAAAAAAATTACAAAATTAATTTGTAATTTTCGTAGCTTTTGTAAATCTTTAAATTTCTTACGTAAAATAACAATAATATACTATACCAACGGTATTAATAATTATATGCTATTTAGTCTAATTTAGTTCAAGCAAAACGCCACTTGTCAATTGGCGCAAATCCAAAAATTAGGTCAGAAAAATTTTTATCAATGTCATTTAATCGCCACCTACTTTTCTTCATTGGAATTAAAGCCAAAAATTGTTTATTTTTACTTGTTTTTACAAATACATTTAGTACCATAGTGTAAACTTACATATAAACGGGTAATGGGGGGGTTAACATTTAAATAACAAATTTATTCAAAAATTTTTTTTCATTAATGTAGTATGATAACAAAAAAAATCTAATAAACATCAAGGCTTTTTCCACGTTAATCTTTTATGTTAATGCTAATAAAAAAACATTTCTAAAGTAATTTGCAAGTATGTAAAGCGATTTTGTCATAGAAAAATCGATACAAAGTGCTTTTTATTTTTGCTTTTTATTTCTTATTTAGTAAATAATTTTTTTTTTTACTTTATATAAATAAAATTTATTTTGAAATTTTATAACTAATTTTTTCCAGCTGAAAATAATTTTATTTTTGATGAAAAACATGTATTTGAGTTAAGAAATATTTTAAGATTTTTGATTTACTCAGCTGATAGCGTACGCGTACCTTATTGCGTTAGTGAGCGCCGAGCGAAAAACAATAACAAAGCGAAAATAAATAGAATAAATTATTATTTTTTATAAATAGTCTTTGATATTTTGATTAATACTCCCTTTATTCTGTAGGCGAGCAATAAATAGTGCTGGTAGTGGTGTCTGTAATAATTTTGTTTTTTCCAATATTTTGATTTAATTTAAAGCACCATGTAATTGTTCAGTACTTATTTGAAATTACAAAATTATTACACGATTTCATGTCATAATGATGATGTCGTCAATACCTTATACTCTTACGTATATCAAAAATTATAAATTTTCGCAACATCGTGTAAAATAATAAAAATTATTTTTCTCCCTCTGTGCGCATTATGACGTGCTTATAAAAAAATATTCGTGTAATAGTAATCAAATTTTGTATTTACTTACCTATAAAAGTACCTATGTGAATTGTTTATGTACAAAATCGAAATAAATAAAAAAAATTTAGAAAATTAATAGGAAAAAATTAAAAACAAAAAAATGAACACGAACAGACAATTTCAGGTTTTAGAGCTCTAAATAAAAATTTGCAAAAAACAAGAAAGCGATATACTCGTATGTACGCCATCTACAAAATTGCAATCAAATCATGTTTGACGTTATCGATTTTCGTCATTCAAAGAGCGTTATGAATACGCAATTGCGTGAGTTTTAAATGTGTTTGTAAAGATTTTACAACATTTTTAATTTTATACATTGCTTAATGTGGTCGTATTAAACGTTTGTAAATTTTTTTTTTTGATTTGTGCACAAATTTAATTAAAAGAAAAAAATTGTTATACAAAATATTGTCTATATAAAATATATGTTGGTACAATGTGCACAAATTGTCGTTTTAATAGAGCATGACATCAAAAATATTTTACAAAATGAGCAATCGCGTTATAAGAGAAAAGCGCTAAATTTTTTAATAAATTTTTGTATTAGGTAATAAATAAGTATAAGACCCGCAAATTTTGGTTAGGCATTTTTTTTAAATTACATGAAAAATATTATTAAAAATTTTGTAATTAATTATTGATTTAACAATTCAAGTATTGATAGTGTGTAATAAAATATTAAATGAAGCATATGAATTTAAAAATATTTGGTGACATAATTGATTGATGTTGAGAATAAACTAATTGTATGAAACCTGTATTTTCTGAAATATATTTAGGTGAATATAAGAGAATTTTCGTTAAAAACCAAATTCGGCTTTATACTTCTTTGCCCTACCGTTGAACTGAGGGTTTAGGTTACTCAGGAAATATTCGCGTATTTATGTCAAACACAATTTTTTTTCCTGACTTCAAAATTACAATAATAAATTATTTAACAATTTCAATCAGCTTCCAAGTTTTAATACTGAATTGTACTAAAATTTAGTATTTTTGCAATTGAAGTCATATAATTATTTAAAAAATTCCTTTTTTTTCTTTTTTTTTTAGTAAAAACCACATTCAATGAAAGATGCGCTCGTACTGGTATTATCGATGTATTAGAAGAATTCATATTAGGTGATAATCCACAAAAAATATTAGAGAAATTAAAAGAAGAAGGTAATGCATCATCAGTATGTGGAAGAGTATTTAAAGTTGGTGAACCAACTTATACATGTAGAGAATGTGGTATGGATACAACATGTGTATTATGTGTTAATTGTTTTAAACAATCAGCACATCGTTTTCATAAATATAAAATGTCTCATTCTGGTGGTGGTGGTTGCTGTGATTGTGGTGATGAAGAAGCATGGAAAAAAGATTATTATTGTGAAGAACATGCGGTAAGTAGCCGGAAAAAAATATTTAGAAAATCAAAATTAAAAAAAGAAAAATATTTTTTTGTTTATTCAAAATTTTTATCATTTTTAATTTTAATAATGTTTTATTAATTAAAATGTAATTTGCAAAAGTTTTTTACTTTGTCAATGACATTTCAATTAAACCGTTCCAGAGATTAAAAATGAGATAAATTCATTCGTTGAAACAAAAACCCTGGCGGGAAAACGTTAAACTATTACTAAACTATTTGATTTTACTTGAGAGCCTTTTCAAATTATCACAGTGCAAATCGAATTTATACGCCTATTCAATTTCGGGTTATTTACTTTTGTATTTCATTGTCATACACGTATTATCTATGTAATTCAAAAATTAAAAGTGAAAAAAGATAAGACGTCAAGTGTTGACAAGAAATAAAACGTCATAAGTTCTTTGTATTAAATATCTGAATTAAAATAAATTTTTATATTATTGCAGTTAATAAACTTTTAATTCTCACAAGGTATATAAAATAAAAATAAATATTAAGAGATTTTAATTCTTTATAAGTATTAACTTAAATTATTTTCGATAATGAAGAAAAGTTTCATTTAAAAATAAAAATATAGTGAAAAGTCTAAAGTTCCTTTAAGTCTAAATACCTTGAGTTTATATGTAAGGAATTAAATAAGACTACAAGAAAAAAAAAATAAAATAGCTAGTAAAGAAATAAAGAAAGCTGAATAAAAATTTCTTTTATAAAACAGAAATTTCACTTCAAATTTAAATAACAAAGAAATCATATTATTAAATTGAGGTCAAGAATATTTTAAATAAAAAAAATAAAATATACAAATGGTGTAGATATTTTTTTTCTGAAAAACTGTAAAAGTGGAATTATGAATTGTGGAATTGTTTTTCAATAAAAAAGCTCAAGGCAATTTCTATTTTGTATAAAAGAAACCAAAAATTTCAAATTTATTTTGACTAGCTCCCATTTTGTTGATTCTTAAATTCATACGCAAAAATTCTAATTCTCATCATCTATAAGGGAAATGCGGCCAAATTCATTTCAATCTGTAACCAAATTATTTGATACGAAAATGGGGAATTTCGCTTACAGCTCGACCTTTTAATTTACTAGAGTACAGGTCGAATTTATAAAAGTATTCGATTCCGGGTACGCACAAATTTTAATTCTCATCAAAAACTTGTTTTAAATGTGAAAAATATTTAAAGTTCTCCCAAAAAAATCTTTTAATTTCAATAAGTTTTAGTTTTAAAAAAATTAAAAGTTTTTTCCTTTGTTACAAAAAAAAGAATTGTACCTAAAGTGTAATTTTTCTTTCTTTTCATTTTACAATTCAGAAGGCTACTACTCTCAAACTATGACTTCATTGGAATACTTAAAAAAAGACCAAAACAAACTTCTATAATTAATGCTAAAATAAGAAGAAACAAAAAATGAGAAAATTTCATTTCTGTTTATTTCTCATTGTACGAAGAACGCACACCAAAATACACAAAAAACGCGTTAAAGACATTTTGGCGTCACAAAGAAAAAAATTTTAATGCGAAAAATTTTCTTTCATTCAAAATTTAAAAAAAAATTATTATAAGAAAGCACGCAATATTTTTTTTTTTTTTTGATAAATTTCTTTCTTGTAGATGAAAATTTTTAAAGGAAATTTCCACAAACCCAAAACAGAAGAAAATCAAATTTTTTTTTTTAAGGTTATGACAATAAATTTTTCTTTTTTAAAAAAAAAAACTTCAAAAACCAAAAAAAGATGAAACAAATTTCAATTAATAAAGAAGACTTATAATTTTAAGACGTAGGAAATAAAGCTCATACTTATGTATACGTGTATATATTTTTGTATTTTTAGGAGAGAGAACAAAAGTACGCCTTTTTATATTAAAGTCAATTTCAAATTTTTGGCGATTTTTACCATTACTCTACTAAATTACTTTTATTTTACTTCAAATTTTATGTTTTATTCAAATTAATTAAATCATTTTTTGTAAAGTCTGAATCAAAATTTCAATTAAAATTTTTACATATAAAAAATTTTAATAGAAATTAATTAGCTTTATTGTATATCTGGAACGCAATCGACAATTGTGTTTATGTACATGTGGGATTCTTTACATTGTTTACAGAATTCAATATGTCAATAATATGTCAAAGTACATATAATCATTCTTTTTATTCTACTTTGACTTTTACGGTTTACTTGATTGTTTACGACGCATTATTACAATGGTATTTGTATTGGAATATCTAAAAAATAAATAATAATATTAAGAGAATTTTATGGCAACACTTTGAAACGATTTCTACGTATACGCAAAATTCGATAAATAAATTGCGATGAAAGCAAAAAGGAAGAGGCAGGAGAATATTAGAAAATAATTTCTAAATAAAAATTACTATTTTTATATGTCATTTTCGAAAGAATTAAAAATAACGGTAAAATTGGTAGAAAATTGTTATACTGTTGATATAATGTAGATTTTAGCTGTTGTAGAGAATTAAAACAAGTTTTAGAAAAATTGAAATATTCTTGACATTTTAGAAATTAAATAGAATTTGACATTCTATTGAATTTAATTGAAAATTTAATATTTTAAAAATGTATTACAGAGTATTTAGAGTTTAATTCATATTATGGCTGTTCTTTTGGTTCTTCCTCATTTTTAGGTCATTTACTTGTAATATACTTCTCCTTATATTTATGAACGATTTTTATTTTGTTTAAATATATTCTTCAATAACTCTTTAACTCTGTCATAAAATTTTAATTCTGCTCTCAATTTAATTAATTTATATTAAATATTTTCTATAACCATAAATAAAATATCCTAATTTAAATTTTCGCAGTAAGTATTCTAATTTAAGTATGTCAAAAAATAAATTTTGGAACATTTCAAAATTGGTTCCACCCGCATTCATTTTATTATTCTTGTTCTTATTTTGTTTTTATTTCCGGCTTCTCTCTCGCAAATTATAAGTGTCATTTTATTACATGAAGATTTATTTTTATACAATTTTGCGGCTACAAACTCGTTATTACCTTTAAGTAACTTTATGTATGTTTGTACATGTGTGTATATATGTTTCAACAGGATGTGAATTGCATGACAAATATAAGTTGTACATGCATATATCGCCATCAATTTTTATAAATGTCTCATTTTTTCTAATAAAATAAATAAATATATTTTTTTTATTAATTTGATTCAATCAAAACAAAGCATTAAAAGAAATCTCATCTTTTGTAGTACACTCTTCTGCCGTATAGTATCATTAGATTTAAAGTAAACATGACATCATCATCCACATCACATCATCTTTTTTAAAACTTTAAAACTTTCATAATAAATTTGTATTTTGGTGTGATTTGGATATTAATAAAGATGATAATGTTTTTTTTTTTTTGGAAGATTCATAAAATTTAGATTTCATATTAACATTCACCTAGACTTTGTTTTATTTATTTAAGTATTTTATTTTTTGTTATTTTTTTTTTTTTTGGTTCTTGATTTGCACTTTAATACTTTCGATATGTATATCAAAAAATTTAATTATACTATTTGTGAATAATTGTTCGTAAAATTGTTTGAATCATACTATAATTAATGATGGCATAAAAATAAGATTTCTGTTTTATATTTTTGCGTACATACGTGTTCACACTGCATATTTGGCTGCAAATATTTGCATATATACATATGTTTGTTCATATAAATTTGTAGTTGTTGTAATGGGTTCTAAATTTTAATATTTTGAGTTGTCAACTTTGGATTATAAGTTAAAAAAAAAATGAGAGAAAATGGAGTTGACCTTGTCAACTCTGTGATACCCGTACGAATTTGTTATCCTATGTGCGAATAAATATGCCATAACTGACTATGGGACAGACTATGATTTTAAGTTGCCGAATTGCAATATTAATTAATGCAAAATTTCAGTACTTTGTTTTAAAAATATTCTCTAAGATATGACCAAACTACTATTTAAGTTGTATGGCAGCTACCAGAAAGAGTCAAGCAATTTTAACGAATTTTATTAAACACATCGGCCCTACTATTATATTCGTTTGTGTGAAATTTCTATACCAGAGCTCTTATAGTTTCTCAGATATAGCCAAAATATCCTTAAAAATCAAGTAAATTAAAGTAAAGTAAATTAAGTTTAATAAATATAAATTCGAAAAATTAATTAATTCTTACATTTATTTTTTTCCAGAAGGGTAAAGAATCCGAAAGTAGTGACAGTACACTAATAACTAGTCGAATGAAAGAGCGATGTGAAATCGCATTCCGTGCCATTCTAATGTATTCAATACAATTTCTAGAAATTGAATCTCATGCAAGTTTAGTATGTTTGGATGATGATCAAAGTCAAGATGTATTTTGTACAATTTTATATAATGATGAAAGTCACACTTTTGAACAGGTAACAAAATATAAAAACATAAAAAATTTTTTCAATAATTCAACATTATTTTATTGTTTTTAGGTTATATCAACACTTGTCAAATATGTGAATATAGATCAAAAAGATGCTATGGAAATTGTTACAAGTATTGATAGAGAAGGTCGTGCTGTTGTTAAATGTGGTACATTTGATGCTTGTAAAACATTAAAAGAGGCTATTGAAAAACAACATTTACCAATGTCAACTGGTATGGCAAAAGCACCACTTAAAGTATCACTTTTACATAAAAAAGCATATTCATGTCAACAATTTGCGTTGCAATTATTAACATGGTAATTAAATGCGTTGTTTTTTCATCATTTTTTTTTCTTGTATCTCTTTCAATATTTTCTTGAAATTTTAAAGAAGAAATGAAAAATTCGGACACCAAAAAAAAAAAAAAAATGGGATCATTCACAATAATTTTCTTGTTTTTACAATAAATTTTTTGATTTTATTACCAGGAAAATTTGTTCGTTTTAAAAAGAAACAAAAAAATTTGAAAAAAAATAAATTAAAGTTGATTCATAATAGCAAAACAGTCAAGTTCAACGCCATCACATTTATTGTTAATTTTTATATATAAAAAAAAATTCAGTGTAAATGTCTACAAATGTTTATAAAATTGTATACACATATGTATGTACGTACATACACATAAATTGCTTTTTTTTTTTTTACTTCAGTTGGAGATTTGCCAAAAATTATTGCCAATTTTTTGTTCAAAAAAATTTTACTCTTTGTGGTTTCATTTTTCCTCCTTTTACGTTTCAATTGAAAAAAATGATGAAATTCAAAATCTGGAACAACTACATATAATATGTATAACACGAAGATGATTTTTTGTTTTTAGAAATGAAATATTTTTTACAATAATTGAACAGAAATTTCCGATTTTATGTATACATTGTTTATGAAATCAAAAATATCCCATCTTTGCTCAAAAATTTTAATTTTTTTTTTCGATATTCAAAATTTATAAGAAAATAAATAACAAATTTTGTGAAATAGTTAAGACATATTATACTATTTGTATATGTTATTATAGATCCATGGTAAATAGTAAAAAATCCATAAATATTTTCCATTGCAATTCACACAATTTTAAAATAATTATGACCCCTACCTCTGATACTGTCAATGTAAAAGCTTTTAGAGCAAAAAAATTGAAATATCAATAGAAATTTATAAATTTTTTTTTAAATTGTTTTTAAATGGTATTTCTTATTTTTTGGACAACAAAATAATAAACACATTATTCATTCTTCTTATTGGAACCGGTGCTATTCATTGTAGCGTGAGGGCATTTATGAAAGGTTCCATTGTGAAAAATTTTCTTTGAGCGCACTCGTCTTTATTTAATAAAAAATGGTGAACCCCAAATTTTTATATATGACCTTTCCTGAATTATATCCTGAATTATATGGGAATTGCAATATAGAACATAATTTTAAAATTTGCTATGGTTTTAGAGTTTTAGTTTTTTTATACTATAACACGAAATTGGAACGGCACTTTATATGTAAATGCTTCTTAAATTATGCAGTGATATATTATTACTACAATTCAATGTCCGAGACAATAATGAAAAATCAATTTGATTGTTACTGTTATAAAAGCTATAATATTTAAATAAATATGATAGGATTTACTGTACTACTACATGCAAATTTTTTATTTTCATCAAATTAAATGTACTAAAAATATGTAATTAAAATTGTTTTTCCGTTTTCTTTTTTTTTTGTAGGTTCCAAGATTTTCTTACACGTCACAAAACGTTTCGGGAAATTTTTGCAGCAGTTGCAAATGATAAACGCGCCCGTCCATATAATATTGCTCATATATTAGAATATGATTGCAAATTATGGAAAACAGCTCGTAGCTGCTGGCATAGACTTTTAATATCTGGAATGTTAATGGAATATGAAAATAAAAAAATTTTGGCTATTGAATTTTCACGTCATTATGCAACAATATTTCAAGATTTTATTCTTGATGATCATGATCATTCATTTTCAATAGTATCTTTAAGTGTTCAATTGTTTACAGTACCAACGATTGCACATTATTTAATGGCAAATGAAGGCGTATTTCATAAATTATTGCATACATTTTATTGGGAGTGTATTGAGAAAAATGTTGAAGAGAAAACATTAAAATTGGCTAGAAATACCGCAAATATGAATAAATTTAAAAGAGCATCATTTATGTTATATGACTTAAAATACATATTAAGTTTTAAGCCAGATATTTGGACACCAGATATTCGTGAAGGATTCCTAGAAGGTGTTAAAGTATTATTAAAATTATTACATGTAATGCAAGGTATGGATGCTATAACACGTCAAACTGGTCAACATATGGATTATGAACCAGAATGGGAATCAGCTTTCAATTTACATATTAAATTGGCAAGTGTTATTTCTTTAGTATTAGAATGGTTGAGTGCAGATCAGGAGTCTTTAGTTAAAGCATATGGAATGATAATGAAGTTGCTTTTAGAGAATAAATTCATTATTAGTGAAGCTGTTTATGAAGAACAAAAAGTAGCTGGACATGCTGCACAATGTATTATGTATGATGTAGCATCAAAAAATGTCTCAATTCACTTACCCTTATCAAGATTCTTTTCTGGATTGTATTTATTGTTAGGACAATATGGATTAAATTTTGATAATGTAACGGCGTCAGCCAAACGTACTCCTGAAGAAATAATGGAACCAATTTTATGTGCTCAAACAATGATTGCACAAGTACATTCTGGAATGTGGCGTCGTAATGGTTATTCATTATTACATCAACTTTATTTCTATCGTAATGTTCGTTGTCGTTTGGAGATGCTAGATCGTGATATTGCTGGCTTGCAAATAGGTGCTGCTTTAATAGAAAGCAATCAGTATTTGATTCATATATTAAATAAATTTGGTTTAATTGCTTGGGCTCAACCTGAATTTGAACCAAATGATACAAATACAAATGATGATGATTTCATTAGGCTTTTGAATATGATCGATGAATTTTTAGAATTACTAATTGTCATTATTGGTGAGCGCTATGTTCCTGGTATTGCAAATGTAACTGAAGATGATCGGACAAAAAAAGAAATTATCCAACAGTTATGCATTAAAAAATATTCTCATTCTGAATTAAATCGTCAGTTACCGGACTCGAATAATGAAACTGTATTGGAAGATGTAATTGATTCAATTGCCATTTTCCAAAAACCCACAAATCCTGAAACAAAAGGAGTTTATAAATTAAAGGAAGAGTTTTACGAGGATTATAATATGTTCTTTTACCATTATACAAAGGAAGAGAAATCTAGATCAGAAGAAACACAACGATTGAGAAGAAAGCAAAAAGGAGAGCTTGTTTGTTGTCCCCCACCAAAATTACCGAAGTTATGTGATGGCTTTGTGTAAGTTTTATTAAAAATTCTTATATTAGGAGATATTTTAACACATTAATTCCAAATTTCAGCTCTATTGCTAATTTGTTACAAAGTGATGTAATGCTCTCATTAATGCAAATTGTTTTAAGTCGTGGTCTAGACCTGAAAGCAAGAAGTTTTACTGAAAGTCATTTGCAAAAGGTTCAATTTGAAACAATATAATTTTTCTATTTTCTTAATTATTAATTTTTTATTTTACAATGTCAGATTCTTTATCTAATTGGATACGGTTTATTAGAAGAACAGTCACAAAATTATCCTTTTCTTTCTTTCTACGAGAGAGCTTCAAAATATGAAATATTGCAGTTACTTGAAAAATTAGTTCATAGTCCCAGAGTAAATAAATTATTTTTTTTTCAAGTTATTGTATAACTAACTATTCTTTCTTTTAGGTTGAAGCTCATCGTGATTTCATTATTTGGACCATCAAAAAATTCAAAGAACTGCAGCCAAAAGAAAATAAAACTGAAAACGAAAATAACGAGCAAATGGAATCTGAAGATTCCAGCATTAATCAGCCAATGACAGCTGCTGAAACGGAAAAGCAAGAGAAGGAAGAAAGAGCTCGCTTAGCTGCAAAACGTCGAGCAAAAATCATGGCACAAATGCAAAATGCACAAAAAAATTTCATGAAATCGAATGCTGAATTATTTGCAACAACGTCAACATCAGAAAGTGATCCTATGGATTGTGAATTCAATAGTATTCCAAACTTAGAAAACAGCAACGATGCTGAAATGCTAAACTTACAAGCTTCAGTATCTTCTACTGCATGTTTAGGAGTTAATAGAAAATTAGGACAACCTGAAGAACAAAAATTCAAATGTATTTTATGTTTTGAAGATTGTGTTGTTAGTAAAGAAAATCCATGTTTAGTTTATTCAGCCTTCATACAGAAATCTAGAGTATTATCTAATATAGGTTATATAGAAAATAAAGATAACAATATTTCAAAGCAACCAGGACGTTCTGACGATAGCAGTAACGTCGGGGGCAGCAGCAGCAGTGGTAGTAATAATACTTACGGGTCAAATTCTGTTGATGATACATCACCTCACACAGGAACTTGTGGGCATGTAATGCATGCATCATGTTGGAATCAATATTATGAAAATGAAGTATCAAAAGAAAATCGTAGACCTAATCGTACAAGGTCCCCAAACAATTTAATAATGGATAAAAAAGAATTTTTATGTCCATATTGCCGTTGCTTATCTAACGCCATTATTCCTTTGACCCCACCAATGCAACAATTTTATGAGCCAAAAATACTACGTAATGATCGTGATATTTTAACCTTCGGAAAATGGATTGAAATTATGCAAACATATGTAAGTGAATTGAATGCAATGGAAAAAAAATATTTTACAGAAAATAGAGAGTTTATTGACATTGATGAAATACTGAAGAAGTGTAATGTTAGTGTCGAAGAGTGGCAGACAAAATGTTTCTCACCAGTAAAAAAATCTGAAATAACTCCGCAATGGGAATTCTTTACTGAAACATTTATGACATCCATACAAAGAGTATCCCCATTCCCACATGCTTCTGAAGAATGTGAACGTTATTTAGTAACATGGAATTCATGCGCTTATACCATAAGATCGTTAGAAATGTATTTACGTGCCATAAATAAACCATTTAAAATTGAAGAAATGTCTATACGACATAAGAGTGTGTTAGACGGTTTAGTGCGTGTATGTGGTATGCTTGGAGCTATATTAACTAGTGCAGACAAATTATTAATACATTTAAGAGGTTTATGGGAAACTGCTCTGAAATCGGCTGGACCTTCAGTTCTAGAGTGGGATCCATTTAGCTTAATGACAAATTTAATATTTATGTCATCATCTGTGATGTATAGTTATCAGGATTCGTACGTGGTAAATATTTTGTATAAAAAAATTAAATAGTTAATTTTAATAAAAAAAAAAAAACATTTATTTTAGATTCCAAGTGGAAACTTCTTTGAATATTATTGTTTAAAATTAATGTTTGCGGCAAATTTAGCTAAAGCTTTAATATTATTTGATGAGGATTCAATGGATGATGATATGGATTTAGATTATGTTGACGATGAACCAAAAATCAATTTGACACAAGATCAAATTCATAACATAACAAGAATATATAAAAAATACAATTTAAAATATCGTCACATACTTGCTCAACAAGAAGAAAAACGTGAGAAACCTAATTCAGTTATCGAAAAAGACGAAGAATCCCAAGATAAGGATATGATGAGTCCAATTCCGGTCGAAGAAGCGCAAATTATAAATTCAGAGTTAACAGAAAAAACATGTAAACGTTTAATTGAATTCATGAAACAAGAAAGTGATACATTTTTACGTTGCTCCGTATTATTATTTCATTTTATGACTGATGTTGAATTTCCAGAAGAATTTTCTGATTTAATGACAAATCAATATGATATTATGTGCAAATATTTAGGTTTAGATCCTTCTATTGAAAATTATTTTAAAACTGATTGTGATTCAATGCAAGCTTTAGAAAGTTTTTGTATGCATCCAGATATAATTCATTATGATACACAAACTGGAACAAAACGTAATGGCAATAATTTCGAAATCATACCATGTAATACACCAATAAGTCAGCTAGTTGATTTACCAGATGATTATAGTGATTTAATAAATAGTATATTAGATTATACTTGCCCAAATAATGATAAAGAAGATACAAAATATCCAACAATGTGTTTAGTATGTGGTAAAATTATGTGCGGTCAATCATATTGTTGTCAGCCAGAAATACAACCAAAACAACCAGTTGGTGCATGCACTTATCATGCATATCACTGTGGCGCGGGTATTGGTTTATTTTTAAGAATACGTGATTGTCAAATTTTATATTTGGGTGTTAATAAGGGCTGTTTTATACCACCACCTTATTTAGATGAATATGGTGAAACAGATCAAGGTTTAAGACGTGGTAATCCTCTAAGATTATGTCGTGAACGTTATAAGAAATTACATTTAACTTGGCTTGGACATGGTTTACATGAAGAGGTATCAAGATTAAATGAAATAACTAATGCTTCTGCTGCAGCCCAATGGCAGCACATGTAGTTATTGTGGTTTAAATATTATAAAATACTATTTGCTACATGAAGAACAGTAGAACTTAGTTATATTGAATTTAAGATACTTAATTGATATTAAACAAGAATAAGATACTAAAAAAAAAAAAACAAATATAACATTTTGAAATTTTTTTTGAAGTATGTGCACAAAAAATAAAAGAAATGAAATAAGTAGAAGCAAAATATGCAAAATAAAAAAAAATTGAATTATAATTTTTGTATTTCATGAAAGAAAAATTAACAATTACTCTATTATTATATTAAATAATAAAAAAAAAAAGCAAAAATGCTTGAAATAACTTAATTATCCAGAAAAGGATTGAATTTGTTCAATGAATTTTTAATTTTTCATTTAATAACTAATTTACCAAAATAAAATTATTAATTCATTATAAATTATTCTTAATCATACAAATAATAATGATGAAAGTTAATGACTAGCATTGAATTTGAAATGTATATTTTGTACAGATTTATTCCGAATGAAAATGGTTTTATTCGATTTATTTTATGCATTTGAAATAAATAGTATCGGATTTTTTTTTTTTTATAAAAATCAACAGGATCAGACCAAAATTAAGTTTTTGGCCAAAAAAAATGATTGAATTAAATTAAAAATTAAATTAGCATTGTAATTGTGTAAAATAGTTCGGTAAATTTATAACATCATGACGAGTATTTATTTGAAAAATAAAATGCTAAAAAAAAAATTAATCAAAATAATAAAATTAAAAGAGATTTTCCTATCTAATCTATAATAAAACTAACAATTAAATTTGAATCTCTTTATCTAAATATTTTTTTTTAAATATCTTTGTTTATAAATCCTATTATTTGTCTATATGAGTTGTAATTCTATCTATTTTTTTTTCTTTTGAATTCATATTAAGAAATTAAATACAAATTAATTAATGTAAAAGAAAATAATCTAAAAGAAAAATTTTTAGTTAGTCTTTTTAAGAAAAACACAAAAAAAAAAAACAAAACAAAATGGATTATAATAAACCAATGTTAAAATTTAATTGAAAAGAAAATAATTCTGATTTTTTCTGTTATGTATAAATTAAGAAAATTTAATATTAGTAAAATGTATAATTTATTAATAAAATTATATAAAAAATGAAGAAAATACCTAATATATATATATATATATATATATATATATATATATTAAAATATAATTTAATTAAATGTTTAAAAATTGAGAAATATAAAAATATGAAAAATATAAAAAAGGAAAAAAAAATTTGATCTATATAAAAAACAAATTTTTAATTGTGTTATTTTTAAATTTAATTTGATTAACTTTCAGATTTTTAAATTGGGTCACAAATGCAACCAACTTACATACTAAAAAATTAAATTTTAAATAGCTAAAGAAATAAATTGCGTTGAATTTGTTAAAAAACTAAAAAAAAAGTGGCATTTTAAACGTATTTAGTCCATTTGTGAGTCACATAATATGGTAAAATTTTGATACTAGAAGAAGTTTTGAAAAATTAACAGTATAATCTAAAGTAAAAAATAAAACTTGTTTAATTTTAGAAGCTATTAGAACGAAGCTATTAGTTTAATCTATTAGAAACAGCATCTGTTAGCATTCTTCTTTACATCTTAAACAGCGATGTTTCAAATTTCCTGTGTTATAAAAATATATTTTATATATATTTAGTAAAGAGCTGGCAATATGTTTCTTCTTTCAAAATAAAACTTTCTGTATGTGTTTCCTTTATATATACATTATATTATCATTTGCTATACACGCACTTTATCATGTAGAAAAAAGCAAAAATTTCCACCAAAAAAAAAAATAATAAGCTTTAATATGATTTTTTAAGAGTGTGTAAATGTGCGAAATATTTATTCAAAAATAAATTAATTAATTTTGATAAGGAATATATTGTTTCTTTTATTACTTATTAAATTAATTTCTCAAAAATTACAATATTGAGTAAAATTTTTAATATTTGAATTTTAACCTTATAATCAAACCAAATCTGTTGTGGGTTTAGAAATTTAAATCTTTGCTCCGAATTAAGTATATGAGGAAAGTAGCTTGATTTTGATCTTCAAATCAAATTAATATGAAAATATATGAATTATGCTTTCTAGCTCTTATTATATATTAATATCTTTAATATTTAAAAACTACTTATGAATGGTGAATGAACTACTTATGGATGATCTTCTTTGTAGAGAACAAGAATTTAAAAAATACAAGTTCTATTTAAAATTAGAAATAACTATTTTAAAGATAAATAATTGCTATCAATGACAATTCAATATTGGAGATATTAAAATAGCTAGTTAATTAACGAATAAATTAATTTATATGTGCTAATTAATATAAATATAATTTGCTGAAGTTCATTTGCGTTCATATTATGAATGTTCTTCACTTTTAAGTTCAAAATAATATAAATAATAAAGCAAAGTAATTAAAAAATAATGTTCAATAAAATAAATAATAATAACATTTTGTTATTTACAATATCAAATTCAATTTAATCCTTTTACACTCGTCATAATAACAAATGGTTTTATTATTGATATCTTACTAAGATCGTTTCTTTAATATTTTCAATTAATTACTTTCCGAAATAAGACGATTTCCAGTGGAATTTGAACATATTAATTTCATTTGAATTCTCCTCATGTACACACTTCTCTTTTACATAAAAATTAATACTTTCAAGTATTTGTTATCATAAATATAAGAAAATATGAATAATTTATTAGGTAATAAATAGCGAAAACAAACACAATCAAAAAATTTATTTTCAATTTAAGCCTTTAATTTAAAAATAAGAATCAAATATAAATTGAAATTATAGTTAGTTGAGTTTGGTCTTTTTAGAATATTGGATTCGATTTGTTACCAGTTCATTGAATATAATTTAGTATTTTAATTGAAAAATAGTAAAATAAAAAGTAATTTAAGGACAATGGATAAAATTCCACAAGATTTTAATTTAGAACATTTAGAAATAAGATTACAAAATATTACAGAAAATGCTAAAGGATTTGTACAAACAAAATGGGATCAATTTATTGATATTACAGGTAATAATAATATTTTATTTTAATTTGTGATCAATTTTATGTGGTACATTGAGTTGATAATATCGTGTTAATTTCAAATTGATTATAATTAATTAAATATTTATAAAACTAAAAATAATTTAAAATTAAAAAATTATTTAAATCTTTTTATAAGTAAAAAGTTACTAGAAAAATATGTTATTAATTTACTTAACTGTTACCGTTGGTAATAAAATGAAATTTACATTGTTATCAGGACTCTTTTGCTTTTATTAAAAAGATTATTGGCCCTATTACACCAATGATTCTTGAATTTAAATAAAAAAAAAAAAAAATTTTGAAAGTGTTCTCATAAGAAAGTTTAAGCTCATAGTAGACAATATTAAAAGGTTTTGGCAAACTGAAACCGTTGGTAATTTTTTAATTGTATATTAAGGAAAAAATCTTTGTCATTAAACTATCCTCAATTACTAACAAAATTTTAAAAGTAAAGAAATGAGTTCCTACACCTAATTTTTACAATATTAGTAAATTTTTTATCAAATGATGAACAATATTTCAAGTGTACATAATTTTGTTTAGCAACTTAAATACCTAACTACTACTTCATATTCATTCATAAATAAAAATTTTAATTTACCGGCCACCTTATGTCATTCCATCTACGGCACCTTTTATGTGAAAAAATATTTTATTAACAACAATGAGTTTGAAATTTTATAAAGGTCATACCCATTTGTAGCTGCACTTAACATTAAGAACAATATACATATTCTTAAATTCTATTTGAGGAAGTAATTTATTAATCTATAATATTGTTCGAAATCATTTCGATAACATATTTTTGGTGATAATTTTAATTTATTTATTATTAATGATATTACAATTTTGAATTTGTCAACAATATTTATTAATAACCTATAAGCTTAAAGCTGCATAATATAGATTATAGAAAACCTCCTGCAAATTTAACTTAATTTTGTTCACCAATAAAGATTAAAAATTATAAAATGATTTTTCAAAAAAAAAAATGTAATAAAAATTTTGTTTTTATTAACAAAATATTTTATCAATTTCTATATTATCTTTCCATAACACAAGGGTTATTAAAATAGGATTAAATTTAAAAAAAAAAAATTGTTTTGTTTTACAAGCTTTTATTTTTGTTTTTCTAATTAATTAAGTAATTATCAAATAATGATATAGTAGTTAGAAATGTAGGTAAATTGTTCAATTGAAATTTTTTTTGATTCGACTAAATTTTAGTCACGTAATCTTGAGTACAATAGAACAACGAACTTTCTTTGAATCTATTTTGTTGTCAAGAGTTCGTTTGCACTAAAAATGATAAATTTCAAAATGAAAAGAAATAATATTTAAAATTGTATTATTTTGGATCTTTAAGTTCATTATGCGGGTTTTTTAAAATTCGAGCAGAACATTTTACTGTTCTTATTTTCACATATGACATATTTTCAAATATAATGCAGTATCCCGAATGTATTTGTATTTATATACATATTTAAAGTATATATATGGATGTGTACAGTTATATACAGCATTATCTACGGCTAAAATCTGGAGCAAAATATATTGTTGAATTGCTATAATTAAAATTACAATTAATTAGAGAATAAAATTTACACAATCTTTTCCACTTATTGAATTCGTATTCAGTTATAAAGTATATTACAGCTTAAAAACATTTATCTGGACTTTGAAAAATGATTTCCTCAATAGATATTTAATTCTTATCAAGATTCAGCAGCTTTGTTCGCTATCCCGATTCAATTTAGCAAAAATTTAGCAAAAATTTTATTATAGATTCAAGTGAACTTATGGCTATACTGATTTGATTAGTTAATTAAGACCCCCTCCATTAATTCAAATTAATCTGGTGCAAATGGCTTCCCTTCATATTACGTTTTAATTTATACATTTATTTTTAAATTTAAATGTATTTCAACACTTAGAAAAAAATGAATTTTGTTTTTAGGTGAAGATCCATATAATATGTGGATTTATGGATTAGTTGCACATACAATAATTGTCTACTGGGTTTATGGTGCCTTATTCACATATATGGTAAATAATTTCAAAATAATTGTAAATAAAATACGTATATATATAATAAAACTTTAAATGCTTGCAATTTTAGGATATCACAGGAAAACCGAAATTTTTAAGAAAATATAAAATACAACCTGGAACAAATGAACCAGTTGAAACTAAAAAACTTATAAATGTAAATAATTATATTATTTGGAAGCTACTAAAAATAAATTAAACACAATAATAATTTATTAATTTTGAAAATTTTTCTTTTTAGGCCATTCTTGTTGTACTTTTTAATCAATTTTTTGTTGCGGGAATTACAACATATTTAACATTTCATTATATTAGAGATGCTAAAATAATGCCACCAGTTAGAGAATTACCAACAATTTATAGATTTTTAACTGATTTATTGGGAAGTTTAGTATTAACAGAAATATCATTTTATTATTCACATAGATTATTACATAGTAAATATGTATATAAATATATACATAAGAAACATCATGAATGGACATCACCAATTGCTATAACAGCTGTATATTGTCATCCAATTGAACATATATTTAGTAATATTGTTTCAGTTACAGTTGGTCTACTCTTATTAAAAAGTCATTATATAACATTTTTAATATGGTTGGCATTTTCATTAATAACAACAATAAGTCATCATTCCGGTTATTGGTTACCATTAAATTTTAATCCAGAATTTCATGATTTTCATCATTTAAAGTAAGTTTTTTTTTTAATAGTTATTATAATTCAATTTTGTTCTACAATTATTATTAATTATTTGGTTTTTCTTTGTAGATTTAATTATTGTTATGGTGTTACCGGTTTCTTGGATATGGTACATGGTACTGATTCTTTATTTAGGAAATATAAGGCATCAGAAAAACAGAAACAAAAAAATAAAATAAAATAAAATTAAGGGGTTTATATAAGAGATTTTGGGAGAAAAAGGCTGTTGCTTTATAATTTTAGTTGTTATTATAAAAATTTTGTAAATAAATTAAATTTAAAATTAACGAATTGTCTTTTAAATATTAAATCGCTAGTTTTGCTTACATGATAGTGTTACCGTTATGTAACGATTAAAAAATAAATACGAAATTAAAATATGAAATTTTAAAAATTAATTAAAGAAAAAAATATTGTCAATTCGAAAAGTAATTTAAATAAAAATTTAATAATATGGAAAAAATTTTGGTTAGAAAATTGTGGCCATTTACATAGGTTTTTGCCAAGATATTAAATATTATCGAAAGCTGAGGGGATTAAAGTTTAAATTAAAATTGATATAGATTATGATTTTTAGCACCTACATACACATACTTATGTTGTACTATTTATTAAGGCTAAATAATATTTGGCATATCTCGTATATAAACTGATTTGAGTATCATAAACGTATCGATGCATTTTTGAATTTACTAATTGCTGAATTTACTAAATTAACTTTTATAATTTCCTATTTAAAACAATATGCGTTTCTATGCAACTTCTATAAAAGGTCAAAATTCCTATTCATACCACAGGAATAATATAAGGCTAAATTGTATGTAACTATTGAAATTTCCCTAAATTGAAAATTGTTTAATCAATAAATTTTTATAATACCCTTAGTTTTACATCTTTGTTAACAAACTGAAATTATTTTAAATTCCTATACTCAATCGTAAGGGTATAGTAAAAGAAAATCAGTTGTTATAAAGGCGGAAAGTAAAAATGTAAGTGCATTAATAATTATAATATGAAATAAAAGTTATTTAAAATAATACAAAATTGTAAATTCAATTTTATTAATTAAGGGCATTATTATTTTTAATGATTATTTAAAATTATAAATCTTTAATAAATTCAAAAATATTTATTCATAAATTTTTCGAAGAATAACAAATTTAAAAAAGGTAATGTGTATAATGTTGTTAGCAATTCATAAATAACGTATTAAAAAATATTGTTGAGTTTAAGAAATTAAACACAAAAATTTAATAAAACAAGAAAAGGTAAGTATGGTGCGCACAATTATTCAATTAAATTTAAAAAAAAAACATACTGACTTAAGCAAACTTACCAGATTAAGAAATAATAAAGAAAAACTCGACCAAATAATTAATTTTGTAATTGACACTTAAATAATAGTTTGAAGTGTAAGGCATGTTAAACAGAAAACAACATTTGTGTGCTTTCAGAATTGCAATAAAAATATAAGCGAAATTTGTTTTTCGCCTAATCTTCAACTAGATTTTATTAAATTTTACATAAAGACGTTGCTACCTTTGCATATTTACAGGATTAAAGAAAATTTTTTTATTGTAGTCTTATTAAAAAATAACCACACACACAAAATTTCACTCAATTTTTGTTCGACTTATACAAGGTATTATTAAAATCAAGTTCCCTGATATTACATTTTTCCTGTTTATAACACTTAGCGCTATGACAATTATCTAAACAAGCATGTTTAGCAGCAACTCATATTAAATAAGCATATTAAACTCTCAACATCAATTACGCCTCTTAAATAACAATTTGCTTATTAATTTTTAAATAATTTTTAAAATTTAAAAAATAAATTATTTAAAAATAATTTATTTTTTAAATTTTTTCAAATTTTATATTCGAATTTTTACATTTTACAAGATTGACAATACACAAACAATAATCTGACATTTTAATACATACAATTTTGAAGTAAATTAAAAAAATGTAAACAGTAAATAAATTTGTCAACTTGTCAAAGCAAATTCAATAGAGTATTTAAAATTATTTAAATTTTTAATAACTCTTGTCAAAAACATCTAAAATTACTTGTTTTTATTATATTTATTAAAGTTGTGGAAAATATGGAGTACGATTTTGAAGATTGTCAATTTCAATTTTTAAATTGGTTACGTGCCAACAATCAACTTCATGGAGAAAAAGATGCTTGGCGTTTAAATTCTTTTAGTATGGATTATACAGATCATTTAAGTGTAAATTTATCTGATGCCGAATTATTGGGTATAAATCGTGATGATCCAAAAGATGTTAAAGGAAAATTAAGAGCAAAATATTTTCATCATTTAACAAATGTTGCATCAAAATTTGTACCAGCTATACCATTTGATACCGAAGAATATTCATGTTTTATGCCAATTATTACTGAAAAATCTCGTGAAGTTTCCGTTCAAACTAAATATAGGTTAAATCAAAAATAAAATTTTGTATTGTAATTTATAAATACTAATTAAGTTATAATTTTAGAGAATCATCTGTACAAACATCTCCATTTGAACCGGAATTTTTTCCCGATGAAAAGAATAAATATTTAGAAACTGAAATTTATTCAATTTGTAGAGCAATACAAGATATAGAAGAACCAGGACAATATGAAATTTCATTAATAGAACGTTTAAAAAGGCGTCGTGCTTTAGAAAAAGTTTTAAATACTTGTCGAAATAAAAATGATATAGATAGATATAGACGGGTTATTAAAACATTTGAATGGGAAGAATGGATGGCAAGAGAAGAAGATATTCAATATTATCAAAATTTACGTTTACAAACATTACGGGAATTACTGGATGAGAAAAATTGTAAAATGAGAAATATATCAGATCAAAAAATTTTATATAGAATTGAACAAATTAAAAAGAAATCAGAATATGAAATGTTAAAAATTCAAAATAAATATAATAGAGATATGAGAAAAATTGAATATAAAAGAAAAAATATACCAAGAAAATATCCAAAATCTGATATATTGGATGAACATACTAAAATGGATTCAGAATTATATGCACCACAAATGCGTTACGGTGTTAATCCAAAACGTAAACATTTTATTGGTTATAAAACTAAATTTAATATGAGAATCGAAGATATAAATCGAAAAATGATAAAACCAACTGTTGTTGAATGCCCATTTGCTTTTACAAAAGCAATTTCAAAACCAAAAGAACCCCCAAAAGAATATACTGTGAATTTCTTAACTGATAAAAGACTTAAAACACTTTACGAAACTTTAAAGGTAACTTTATTTAAATATAAAATTTATTTACGATTCCTGTTTATTTTGGGGATTTGGGGATATAATGTGCACAAGTCAATTGATTAATTCGGTCAATCATTAATTTTTCAGCATTTTCGAATCAAATTGGAACCAAAACCAAGAGATGCACCAAAATGTTTAAAAGAAAAAGAAACTATTCCCGAAAGTGAAACTAAAATTACAGTTTTTGGAATAGAACAGGATGTTGAAGCAGAAGAAGAATATCAAAATTGTATTTTTTTACAAAAATTAATAAAGGTAAAAATTTATTTACATTGTAATGATGATTACAAAATATATTTAAGGGTCGTGCTATACAAAGTATGTTATATGCTGGTAAAGAAGAACTTAAAGGACTTATACATGAAATTGATTCAACTCATTCATTAAAAGCAATTGAAACCCTATTTCCTGATATTACAAAAGAAAAGAAATCTAAACAAGCTCAAATGTTAGCAAAACAAAAATATTCAGAACAAATTTCAAGTGATAATAAAAATCTTAAGTCTATTATACATGGTTTTGAAGGTTCAATTATTGGTCCACTTTTTGAATTTCTCGAAAAAGAATTAGATCGTTTATATGAACAGAAACGTATACAAGCTATTGTAATGTTAGCTGAAAGAGAACGTTATAAACGTGAAGCTAAAGAAGCTGGTAAACGTCAATATGAGAATCGTTTAAGAGAAAAATATTCTGAAGCATATATACATATGGCAAAATCAACCAAAGATAATATTTCAATGTATTTAGAAGATGTTCTATTAGATGATATAAGTAGAAAAGCTGCATTTGATAGTCGTCGTAAAATTATTGATATTGCACGTGATTTAGATCGTTTTAGTGAACAAATGATTGAGAATCCTACATTGCCAGTATCTGAGAAAAAATCAAATGAAGAAGAAATTATTAAAAATATTGTTGATAATTTTTTATTTTCTACAATACACAATCAATTGGCTAGACAAAAAATTGAAAGAGAACGTAAAAAAAATATTGAAGCAATAAATAAATTAATTTATGCAGAACATAGAATTGCACAAGATGTTTTAGATGATATTCTAAATAATATTATTGATGATGTTGTTAAACATGAAAGTCCAGAAGAAATTCAAAAAGAATCACTTAAAATATTTATTAGAGATATTATTAAAAATATTTTAGAAGATACAACTATTATTAAGGATGAAAAACCATCATTCGAAAAAATTATGAATTATATATTAGATTTAATATTTGGTTCAGAACATTATTCAGTATTTATGGATGATAATGATAAAAAAAATTTTACAGTTAATGTTATAATTAATGAATTAAAAGAACAAATTGGATTTGAATTGGAAACTGATGGAGAAATTGAAAAAAATCATGAAGAGAAGGAACAAGATTAAAAATCAAACAGATTAATAAGAATTAAGTTAATTTTAAATTTATAGATAGAAGTATTTTAGGTTAAAATAATAATGATTTCTTATCTGCAAATTTCAATTTTATAAAAAAAATTCTTCAAAAATATTATAAATTACAAAATATTATAAATAAATTAGAACAGCATAATAGAATCATGTTGGATAATGAAGAATTACTCGAGTTTGTTACAAATCAGCAAATTTAAAATATTCAGTTTCTTAATTTGTAATTATGTGTGAAGACAGCTTAAACCTTAACCTAGCTAATACTATCTACTATGCAATATTCAATATTCTTATTTATAAAATTTTTTGTAATATTTTGTAAATTCAAATTTTGATTCTTCATGAACTGTTCTATCTATGCAGCTGTATAAGTAATTAGTGAATATTGAAATTATTTTTAATTATAAATTTTCATATTAATAAGGTGGATTTGGAGAAAAAATTTCACGAGAATTGATTTTAATAAGTATACTGTTACCTAAGATACTATAAGAGTATATAGTAAAAAAATATACTACAAACGTATACTAGGGTTAAAACTTACACATTATAATCATAACAAAAATCAATTAAAAATTATGGGTATTATGGCCTATAAGTACTTATTGCATTTTCTAAACAAAAAATAAAAACAAAATCTTAAATCTATCGTTTCTATTTTTATGACTATGAATAGTAACGTCTTATCGGTTTATTTTTGCATATTTTTTTTTTATTTTTCTCTTTACAAACCAATTCACATTTGTGTCAAACTGCGATTTTAAGAATTACATACTTATTACATTATATTTAAAAAGCTTATTATATTTTACATACATCTATGTAATTAATATATTTTATATTTTAGAATTATTTATTGTAATACATGAATTCGCATTTGTTTAGGGAGGTATTGAGAGATTACACATATAAAATTGTAATTATTTTGTATTTCATTACATGGGGCTGGATTCAATTATTAAAATTTGAGCCTAACATAAATTATTCATTTTTAAACTAAGAAATAATAACAGAGGTAAATATTCAAATTGGAAATTAAAATAATAGAATTAAATATAGATTAAATATTCAATACACGGTCAATTTATTCTTAATTTATTAAGCGATTATTTTTTTTTATTTTTATTTTCATAGTGACCTGACCGGGGTTTGAACCCGAGACCCTTCGTTTAAAGGGCCGATGCCATAACCACTGCACCAATGGTCAGATTAAGCGATTATAGTAATAATTAATTTATAAAATATGACAAATAAATGCTAATTATATTATGATACTTAGATTATCTGGGTTGTAAAAATTTTATCCAATTTCAATATCATACGTAATTTATAAATAGTTTATTATTTTAGATAAAAAGGAAATTATAAACAATATGTTAATCTTATAATTAAATGGGAACCTTGATTGTCTGAGATTTGCATTTTATTGCTCTATATACTTATAAAAAATTACAACCTCTTGACTGAAAGTGAATTCTACTTGCATTTGAATGTATGTACTTATTTATGTATGTATGTATGTTTTGAAACAAATCAGTAGTATGCAGAGTTCATTCTTATATAAATCGATATCGAATTAAATTCTAATTTTTAGAAATTAAAAAACGAGATTGCATTACCGAATTTTCTACAAAAATCTTAAATTTAATAAAAAAATTAATAGGATGCTAAAATATATTGAATTTTTAATTGCGAACCACAATTTTATAAGAATAAAATTCAATAAAAACGTAAAAGGTAAATTTCGTATTCATAATTGGAATAGCAAAAAGCGAAACTGAGATTTTCTTATCATACATTAAAAAAAAATTGAACATTATTTTTTATAAATGTATATTATTTTTTTTTACATAATATTTTTAGCACTAAAACTGGAATAGTTATTTTTATCCTATCCGTCCGTTCGTTGGTTCATTTAGAAAATTACTACAACCTTTACTTTAATAGGATTTCTTGAGAAATTTTTCTCTCTCTAGAAATTTTTCTGTATCTAGAAGTCTTCTCAACTTTGATTGGAGGACCCTCCAAAAGTTTTCGCCAGTAAAAATCACAAAAATGATTTTTTTTTTAACAATTTACTGTTTCGAAACAAAAATTTCGCAAAATGTCTAAATATAGAAACTTGGTTCATTTCCTGCTGTTCCGGCAAATGTTACAAAGATAAAACGGCCGTTAATATTAACCGTTATCTGAAAACCATTTTTCTTTTTTACAAAAAATATTTTTTTAATCTTTTTTTTATCCTGGAGGTATGCAATAATTATGATATACAAATTTATACATGAGCATTGTTTTTTCAAACAAAATGTTTTCAATTGTGCTACTTCACAAACATATTAATTTATTTTAAATTGATATTTAGAGTTATTGACATAGTTAATAGGATGGTTTCGAATAGAATTAAAAGCGGTTAAAATTAAAATCGGTGAAAAAATTTAATTCAACAAAATTTATATCTAGCCTTTACAGCTTATCTAGCCTTTTGTAGCTTTTATATCTAGCCTCTTACAGCTAAAAGTGGAAATGTGTTTTTCTTTTGTTGCATTATTTTCGTTTTTTTAACTCTTTTATGTACAGATGGGGCTACTGCGTACTGTTAAATTTGCAAACTGAAAATTTTTTAATTCCATAGTTAAAGAAAAATCACAAATTCAATTTTTTAATTAAGCGTGCTGTACATGTCTTGTTTTATTTACTAAAATTCGCAGGCTCCCTCTCTGATTAACTTATTTTTTTTTTTTTTGTTGTACATTGTACCTTTTACATTTTACGTTATAATTTCGCGATCAATTTTTTATTTTTCTTCTTCTCTATCTTGTTCTATATTATTATTTTTTTTTGCTTTAATTTATACATACTTGTGTATATGTATATACATATATATCGGTAAAATAATGTAAGGTATATTTTTATTATGGCTATATAGTTATAAAGTCGCTTTGTTGGTACGGCTTTTTATTTTTATATTGTGCAATGTTGTTGTTTTTGTTGTTTTGATTTATTTCTTTCTTCCAGTAAACGAGTAAGCAATTTTCTGTTTTTTTTTTTTCTATATTCTTTTTCTTTTTTCTCGCTATACTTTCATCGTTTACAACAGCACAAACAATTCAGTAGTAGTAAGTTAAGTAGTCGTCGTTGCCTTCGTCGCAGTTTAGTTAAAAACCAGCTTTCATATGAAATCGAAGAATTTTTATTTTTAATTCGCGTTTTCAAATTTTCTACATTCTATTTAGAATAAATTTTTTTTTTTTAATACTGGAAATTAAAAATAGCTCATAAATAGTCAAAAAGGTTAAAAAAAATTCTCTTTTTGTTGATAACATCTTTTAATTTTTTTCTTAATAAAATTTCAAAAATTTTAATAATTAATTTACCGGTTGGGGTTAAAGCGGTAAAATTTTGAACTAAGTTAAATATTTGTGTTTCATATTTTTTTTTTTTGCATAATTAATTTATTTACAATTCGAAAAATTCATCTCAATAAAAAAATTTTTTTATTTATTAAAAAAAAAAACAAAAGAACACAACAAAAATACAAAGGAGAAATCAAATTTATAAGAGGGCAAAAGTTAAATAATGTGAAAATCAGAAGAATAAAATTATTTCGTAAAGTTCAAAGACGCAAAAAATCTCTTATAAAATTTTTCTAAAATATAATTACAAACGTACTTTACAAAATACATACAACATTCAAACAGCAAATTATATTTAATATGCATGTACATAAGAATTAATATTATTAATTGATTTTATTGAAAATTTAATTTACAATTTGAAGAAATCGAACATTTCGTACAGTAACCTTCTTCAAATAATTTTGTTTGTGACAGTAACTTGATTTGGTTTGTGACATAAACAAGAGCAAAAATAATAATTTTATGTTTTATTAAAAAAAAAAAGAAAAATGGCAACAGATTATTCTTATTATTTTGATAATACAATTAATAATACAAGATTATTAGGTATACGTGATTTTTGGGAAGCATCAGGTGATTTTTGGCAAACAAAATGGGAAAAACTTTTAACAATAATTGGTAAATAAATAAATTTGTATAAAATAAATTTTTTTTATTTAGAAATAACAGTGTCATATTTTAAATATTATTAAGAACAGTTAGTTAAACTAAAATGTCAGTGTCAATATTCTGATTATGAAAATAACTATTATGTATTGTAGTTGTAGGCAAAGATTTTGCGGTACAATCGAACAGCGGCTTGATCGAAAAATATAAAACTAAAAATATCGAATCGGTATATTGAATCAATACGATATTTATGCTATGTAGCAAGAAAGACTTACTTATTGGTTATTTAATAAAATTTAACTGGCTTTCTGTTCTCCATGGTTTAAATTTTTCAAGTTTTTTTTAAAAATTTAAATCAAGGAACATAAAATAATATTTTTGCCAATAACTCTAGTTGTTGTTAATTAGAGAAATCTACTGTTTTTCTTTTTTTTGAAAATATTCAATTTGCCTACACAATTTTATTATTTAACTCAAGCGAAAAATAATTATATACGCACTTTGTAGTTTTGCGGCAATTAATTAACAACTAAACAATTTGAACAGTTTTTCTGTTAATTCAACCGAAAGTAAGATCAAAAATTGTTGTGTAAATTTCGGATACACTTTTATATACAAAATACTTTCCTTACAGAAAGCTCAATATAAATATGTTCATTTTCTGAAATATTCTTAAAAAAATTATTTATTTATTTATTTTTTTTTCTCAACATAATTTATACAGGTGTTTTTTGTCAAAAATTAACATTAGTATTCATTAACATAGTTTATACATTAGTGTTTTAATGAACAAAATTATTTAAAGAAAAAAATATTTGAAATATACTTGTTAAATTGTGAAAACTATATTATATTAATAACAATGATAATATACAATTATACTAATTATGTATACTTGTGTATATAAGTATACTTAAATGAGCAATTATGTAGATATACATATTTACTATTAGGTACATAAAATTAAAATTAAGCATCTTGAATTATGAGGCAAAAATAATTGAGTAATAGAGTCTATAAGAACTGCTAAAATATGACATTTAATTATTTATATACTCAATTATACAAAACTTATTGCGAATGTTAAAAATGTGTAGTAATGCAATAAATAAATGCAATATAGGTGAATATCTTTCGAAATAAAAATATTAAATTAAATACATGAATTTGTAAATTTAACAATAGTGTTATGAAAGTATCATAAATATTTAATAGAAGTAATGCATATATAGAAGTAATTTTTAATTCTTGTTGAATGATTATTTTAATAGGAAAGTAATCAAAATAATATGAAGTAAATAATTCAGCAACATAAGTATGTACTTTGTTTTAGCAACACATATATATATATATGTATTTATAGGTATATGACGAGTACTCAACTCCATGTCACAAATAAATCACTTTAGTATTTAAAACACGTATGTAACAGCTATTGTAATTCAAATATACCTTAAATAATTTAAGAAAATTTACTACAAATACTTAAAAAGTGCATGCTTATAGAGTATAAGTAATAGGACATAATATAGTTATAGTAAATAAATATATTTATATGTAGAATAAGTGTATAGCAAATACAACTTATGTACTTTGTTTTCTTCGATTTTTGCAATATTTTCAATATTTTGTTATACGATGTATGCATAATACTCGTATATAGAGTAATAGGTTTAATGAACTTTGTACGTGTGTAAATATGTATATGTATAAGCGATTTTCAGTAACTCTATAAATAATATAATTTGTAGTTCTTAACAATTTAATTCTTACTTAACACTATTATAATACAGTCCCTTTGATATTTTAGGTACTGCTCAAATTTTTTAAAAGAGTGCAATAATTGCAGTTTGTAATTTTTTAATTAATTATAATTCACACAATATACTTAAACCCTTATATTAGATATTTACAGATCTTATAAGAAATTCTTGCAAATAATAATTCGAAATTTTAAGTCTACTCCTTCCCATATACATACTAAAAGTTCTATGTCAATTGTTTATTATCGCAGTTATGTGTGCAGCTCATTTATATATTTCTCTTTAATTTTATAGACTGCACAGGAGACAAAAAAAGTGCTGCGATATAATATTTTATTGCAGTGATATGAAAACAACTTAAACATATATACTTATACTACATAATATTATATTTTATGTGAAAGTCTGGTATTTATGCAATATGTAATTTTATTTACTCTAAAATATTCAATTAGTAATATTCAAATATTTCACTTACAATGAATTTTATATATTAAGTGATGATTCATTTTAATAAATCTCCATAATATTATATATAAGAATAAAATAATGAATATAATGAAAGCAAATAATCTGAGTATTATTACTTTTATTAACAATGAAAAATTTAGTTACAATGTAATCGAAAAATTTTCCATTTTCACATTTACATATTATTTGGTATAATGTGTTACTTAAATATTTTAGTATTTTATTTTTTAAATTATTTTATAGTGTGAAACCCCCTATCAATGCTTAGCATAATGAAATGTAATGCAAGTGACATGTAAAATGTAAACAATTAATAAAAATAATATTTAATAATTGACAAAAATTGGGTTTTTCGACTTAGACAATTTTCTTATTTGCACGTACGAGTACTACTTTAAATAGTTTTCTTTTTCCTATAAAATCAATGTATGTACATAAATTATATATAATAGCTTAATTGTTATTTTAATGAGTATAAATTGTAAGTGAGTGAATATGAATATACTTGATGAGTATAATATTTTTGTAATTAAAGCGAGGAAAGCGCTATGTCACCCTGTATTAGCAAATAATGTAATCTTCCACTTTAAATCGTCTTTGGGACCGAAAATTTCCGAGTTTAAGCGAAATAATTCAAAGCGAGTTATACATATTTTTTGTATAAGAAAAATTAATTATTTATTTTGTCAAATTCTTTATAAGAAAAATCACTATTAGCGGGGTTTGAATGACTTAAAGTGAGGAAGTGGTATTTCGAATTTCAGAGACTTACATGAAGTTTTTTTTTTAAATGAATATAACATTATGCGAGAAATCACCGTAATAACTTTAACAATAACTAAGCAAACAGTAAAATTAAAAATTATGTAGAGACCATAGGGCAAATAATCTAATGAATTCTGTAGTATTTACTGCTGTAAGTATATAAAAGAAAAATATCTTCTATTAATAAAAATATTGTAAAACAAGTAAAATAATATTAACACATTTGATTTACAACTAGCTCTATATAATCTTAATATTTAATACACCTTTTATGAGTACATTTTAGTGCATTTTTTTTAATTTGACTTTAATACACTTGAATGTAGTACTATCTAGTAATGTGATACATTCCTAGAAACCTTGCAATAAATTTAAGGAATTCATAAAAGTTAATTATTTTTCCGACAATTTAACCCAAAATATATTCAAATTGATCGTTCCCTAATTTAAATTATTCATCATATATTTATTCTTAAAATTAATTCGCTTTCATGAATATGTTTTTTTAAATATATAAGTAATCTAAATATTTATAAAATTTAAGAGTTTATAATATAAAAGTACAAAAGTACGAAATTTATATAACAAACAAAGAAAAGAAAAATAGAAAAATTATCTCTGCTAAAAAAGCTCAATAATAAATTTTTTTTTGTTTTTCAATAATAATCTTTTGAGAATAGATGAGAAATAGAAAAGAAAAACACTTGGAAACCAAACCTCAAGATTATTTGAATGAACTTTTATAATATTTATTTGTACATGTATGTATGTATATATACATATACTTAAATACTTATAATTTTTTTTGCATTATTTCAAATACTTTCCATTTTACAATTTTAAAATTGTACATGAATTACTTATATTTCAGTCAATTATTTATGTAAATATTATCATAATTTAAGATTCATAAAAAAAAAAATAAAATTTATTTTCCTTTTTAGTATTTTTCCACAAAATATTGAAAAAAAGCGCTTATTAATTTCACTCTGTCCATCCATCTATCTGGTCGCGTGTCTGTCCACAAAAGTTTTACACCTTTTGAGATAAAAAGCTCAAATTTAATAGACAAATAGATCTTCAGTAAAATATTTTATTTCTATCGAAAAAAATTTTGTCTGTCCCCCCTCCCCTCTCCCGTTTTTAACAGCTATACCTTCTCAAAATCCTTTTAATTATAATTTTTTGTCTATTTATTGTAATGTAAGCATAATCAGTTTTTAAATTCCGTAAACGTAGAAAAGTAGCGATATGCTAATTCCATAGCGGCACAGAACAATTGAAAATTAAAAATTTTCTTCCATCTCCAGAAAAATCAACACTCGAAATTTGTAAAACATGAATTTTCGACGCCTTACATTCCCGAAACTGTAATTTTTTTCAAGTTTCTGTACAAGTGAAAAGGTAACAGTAAATGTCATGCCATCAAAAAAATATAATTATCTTAACTCATTAATATAACCGTCCAATCCCAAAGGTATGTAACAAATTGATATATTTTGCTGTATCAATCAATTACTTAAGAGTAATTTAAATTACATATGTTGTAGACTGACTATAAAAGCAATATTTTTACTTGTTCAAGGGAAAAGTGCTACTTTACATATCATTGGTTTGATTGAAAATTGTTTTTTTTTTTTTTTTACTTAAATTAAAAAATCACATAAATTAAGTTTACGTAAATGATCAGTCAGAAAATTATTTGAATTGTTGCATGTTTCCTATATATACCTAAATGATACAATAATTTTGCTACTTATTTATGATAACAATTTCATTCAAGTTCAATTCAAAAAGCATTTACAATATGGTTAGTTAAATAATGACTGTAGAATATATAATATGTACTTATTGTTCAGGAATATTATTATTTTTTGTTTGCAATAAATTGCAAGTTTTAGCTATGCATTTTTATAAAAACAAGTGATCATTTCATATTATAACAAGCATATTTCCTAACTGTATCCAAATTGCAGTAGCACCTTATGGATTTTCAGTTCAGAATTTAATTCATATAAGTTAAAGCTTAAAAATGTCTATTTCATAAACCCCATTTTGACTAAATTGTAAAATATGTAACACTAGTGCCATCTGATCTTGATTTTCAACTGAAACAAAGCTCATTGACAGAACATATTCTGTCTGTTTGTTAGTTATTATTGTAATAGATAACCAGTTAATGTTCATTTGCCCTTTTATGAGTAAAATTTATCTACTTCTAATTCTAAAATCCCAAATCATTTGCAACTATGCGCTAGAAGAGTGTACAAAGTCAATTAAAGTAATTATACTTAAGGAACTTTGATATTAGTATGATGACACGTTCTAATGGCCACATGATTACGGACAAGTAAATTTCAAAAAGATTTAACTATGATATAAAAAATGTTTTTATAATTTCATTCATATTTTTAAAATAAAATATTTTGATGATAGCCTGTAATCAGTGAATCATTAAAAATAGAACCAAAACAAAGAATAATTATCACAATTAAAATTATTAGACTATAAAAGTACAAATATCTAATTAAGTATCTACATATATAAACATACATACACACAAATTATTTATTATATTTTTGTAAAAAAATAAATTTAATTTTGTTTTGTAATTTTTCAGTAATCAAAGAAAAATGTTGATAAATGACAATTGACAACTCGTGCTTTATTGCTTTATTACATAAAATTCATTATTATCAACATGGCATTACTTTTAAGATTTGTGTCAATAATCAAAATATACTTATAGTATAGGTACATACTTAATAACATAAAGTTCATTCACTTAAGAATTCATTTCAGTAGTAATATATAGATATATGCGTACATATATATCACTTAATAGCATAAATGGAAATGAGTATTTAAAATTAATAAAAAATTATTTAATACAAATATTTTGGATAATTGTACTAACTATTTTACAATTTGTATAGAGTTATTTTTTATATGTTTTGTGTTAATTTTTAGAATTGGACTAGACTCGAAAAAGAGATGATCTCGAATCACAATGTAGTTTATGAAAAAAATTACTATAAATCAAAAGTGTGTAAAGGGTGAATGTGTAATTAAGATAAGATCTGATATTGACGCTAATACTGTATAGTTCATTTCTTTTTCGGCATTCAGTCATGTTGTGATTTAATGCATTTACTTATTAATTGCGAAAATTTAAATTTCTGACTTCTGAAATGGTCTTACTTTCAATTCAGGTATTTGAGTTAAGTAACGTAGAATAAGTTTGTATTTTAGAATATTTTAATTAAAATTATAGGATATTTTAAATAAATATTAATTTTTAAAATATTCTGATTGAAATTGTAACAAAATGGTTTTTTTATCATATTATAGATTTATCTTATTTCAACGTCCAACTATTATTTTAGGGCGGTTTTCTGAAATTCAAACAACACGGCAATTATTTAAAATTTTGATATTGTTTGAAGAAGAATTTTCTAAATTTTCCCATTTTCTTCTTCGCTCAAGCTACTACCTTTGGAAATGGATAAAGTAGCTACCAGCTAGGCTAGTTATTTTCATAAATGTAATAATACTATTTCAAAAACATAACACAACGGATATGCAACATATTTTAGGCAATTCTATAGAAGCAAAACCATTCATATTTACATACCTTAACGAATTTATTTAAAAATCTTATTTAATTTTGTAATTATATAACCTGTTTATATAACTAAATTATACAACATATTACAATATTATTTTATTCACCTTAAATATAAAATTTAACCATAATGCCAAGTAAAATTTCTAATGTAAAAGAACAATAAAAAATACTACATATCATTTTCGCCTTTAAGCATGCAATTTATTTTAAATTTAAATTAAATTCACAATAAGTTGTAAGCTTTAATATTGTAATATGACAAAATTTATACAAATACAAATTCATTATTTTCTTGTATTAATTTTTCAAATAATTAATGTTTGGGTTCGAGTAGTTGAAGTTTTTCAAAACAAAATGCATAAGTATAATCTTACAAGTTAATTTATTAAGAAAAACTCCGTATAATTATTGCTCCATATGTACATATTAGTTAAATTGCTATAATGTTAACCATATTTTAAATTTTAACATCGAATTGTTAATTACAAAAATTATAAATAATAATATACTAATAGTAAATATTATAGATTTAACTAGCTAGATTTATTTTGAAAAATTTTACAAATTATCACATTCATTATATGTACGCATTGTTTGGTCTCAACCTATCCACTATATATTATAGTGTATCTGTGATTTCTATTCTCTATTTTATTCGCGTTATTTAGTAAATCATTTCAATTATCACCTTCTACAAAATATCCTATATTTATACTTTTAAATCCATTTAATTTGATTGAAATGCTTTTTATTCAATTTATAATGTATAATTTTGAATAAACAAATAATTAGACTAATATATATGAATAATTATATTGTTTAACTCTATAAATAAAAAAAAAAAATAAATGATTTCATTACCATATGTGATTCTAAAATTTGTTTTGTATTCCACAAACAAACAAACGAAAATTGTATTAGATAGTTTTGAATAACTTTCGGTCACAGATGTTTATAGAAAAACAGAAAAGGGGGATGAAAGTGCTACTTATATAAAATATGTGCTGTAGGGAACTTTCTATCAAAATTTTGAATATTTTAAATGATTTATGTTTCTTTAAATTTCGAAGATCTAATTCTGATTATTGCCCTAGTTAAATAAAAAATAAATAGTTAAGCGTTTATCAAACCACAATATTTGTACTATGCAGTTGAATATTTTGCAAATTTCCTATTTACGTGTATATAACAATTTTCAATTGTTTTAATTAAACACAAGGTTGAATAATAAAACCGCATAGTTATTTAAAGGAATTACTACAATTATGACGTTAACAGAATTTTTTTTTTGGAAATAATAGTCACAAAATCGATTACGTTTTACGTTCTGACTCAAAATTAATATTGTTAAGAAAAAAAATTAAAATTTACTATATTAAATTACTATATTATATTAAATTTATTTAAATATAAATGAAAGATATTTCTGATTTACGTAAAAGAAAATTAAATAATTCGTATAAGTAAAAGTTGTTAACAATTTTTTAACCGCTAAATCTTTCGAAATTTTAACCCTGAAAAAAGCAAAAGCTATCAAACTTTTCTAATTTACTATAGACCATACGAATTATTAAAAAATCTCAATTCTAATTTAAATAAAATTGTAAAATACATAAAATTAGTTAAAAATCCATTCATAAAATTTTTTTTTATCATTTCAGGAGATGATCCATTCAACCTTTGGGTTTATTACTCTACTATTTTAACATTTTTCGTATATTGGACCTTCGGATCATTTTTCACATTTATGGATATAACAAATCGTCCAAAATTCTTACGAAAATATAAAATTCAACCAGGAACAAATGAACCAGTAGATTTAACACGATTATTTAAAGTAGGATAATGAATAATAATTGTATAATAAAAAAGTATAATAATAATTTAATATTAACTTTCAAATTTTAGATCATCTTACAAGTACTTTTTAATCAAATCGTTATTGGTTTTCCATTTGCTTATTTATCGTATCATCTTTTAAAATTACGTGGTGTTATAGATTCAAATAATCAATCAATTTATATATTACCAACATTTCATCGTATTGTATTTGATATATTTTTCTTTGTAATAATTGAAGAAATTGGATTTTATTATTCACATCGATTATTGCACAATAAAAATGTATATAAATATATTCATAAACAACATCATGAATGGACATCACCAATAGCAGTTACAGCAATTTATTGTCATCCAATTGAACATATATTCAGTAATTTAGTACCGCCAGCTATAGGTGTACTTATAATGAAAAGTCATATTATTACCGCATGCATTTGGTTCTGTATGGCATATATGAATACGTTAAATTCACATTCTGGATATCATTTACCATTTTTGCCTAGTCCTGAAGCACATGATTTTCATCATTTGAAGTAAGTATTAATTGCATATTATTTATTGTTTATTGTAATTCTCAAAAGTATCTAAATCTTGAATTGATTTCAATTATATTTTTATTATCTAAAATGAAAATTTGATAAATTCTATAATGTATAATTTTAAAATATAAATTATGAAAATATATAGTAAAAATAGTTTAATCAATCATTAAAATTTACTTAAATATACAAATAATTTTTAGATTCACAAATTGTTTCGGAGTATTGGGTATTTTAGATCACTTGCATGGAACTAATGATATGTTCAAAAAAACTTCTGCTTATAAACGAAATATCACTTATTTTGGATTAACACCGCCACGATCTTGGTGCCCAGATAATAATGAAGAAACCAAAGAAAAATCATCATAAATTTTAGTAAAAAAAATTTTTAATTATGAATGAATACATAAACTTTTGATATTTTTTATCTTTATAGAAAACAATATGTGATTTAATTTAGCCTATTTTATGATTTATATTGTTAAAAATATAAATATGCAAATTTTATTATTTGTATTACTTTTAATAAATTTTTTTTAAGAAAACTTTGAAATTATATTTCTTTAATTTTTAAAAAACTTTATAATAAACACAAATATATATCTAGGTCCTTGAATATTCTGTTCGTTTTAATATTGTCTTTTGCATCAAAAAAAAAACGACATAATCGTGTGCAGTCACTTTAGAGCAATACGTACCCATTAATATTAATTTATGAATATACGATTTGAAATTCCGAACCGAATCTTTTATTTTAATTTTAAAATCGCTTACAACTTTAAAAACGATTTTCAGACCGCATTTTAAAATAAAATTTTATTGCATGATTAAATTTTTCTTTTTGATTGAGATTCTTCAACTACAATTTTTTTTCTAATTGTATAAGGTTGATAACTTTCATTTTCAAATATTCGAATGCAATAAGAGGTTTCGTTCTTTTCAACAGTTTCGTTTATTCTTGGGTTCCCACTTGGACTCTTGAACGATGACCAATTCAAAAACGAAATATGGCCAACAATTTTTAAATAAGAACTAAAAATACAAAATAGAAAACTATATTATTGTTTCAAAGTATAATTATTTTATTTTAATATAATAACTTTTTAAAATTTAATATAAAAAAATAATTAATATTGAATTTGAAAGAAATATAAACGAATAATAATAATTACATAATTAAATTAAAAGAAAAAAAAAATTAATATACAAATACAAAATATTTATTTTTTCTTAATATATTGCTTCGCATCAATATTTGAATTTTAAAATCACATAGTTCTTTATATTATTTCTAATATTTATTAATTATTAAAGTTTAATAATTTTTAATGCTTTCATAAAATATAAAATATTGATTATAAAATAATAATAAAAATTGAGACAAAAAAAAATATACATTAAGGTGTTTGTTTATAATAAAATAAATTTCATTTCGAAAGTGCAAATAAACAATTAGAATGTATAATATTTACAATCAACAAATTATTGAAAAAAATGCGGTCTTTTTGTTATTAAATTTCTAATTTTATGTAAAAAATTTATATATTCTATATATGTATATATTATTTTAATTCACATAATATGTACGTACAGTGTAAATTTTAACATAAATTGCCAAAAAGTATAAATGTATATAAAATTTCGTATCAAATTACAAATTAAAGATTTTTTATTTGGAATTTTAATTTTAATTTTTTCACTCTGTAATTGAATCTTTCAAAATTAGAGATTAGTTTTTTTTTTTTAAATGATAACAATGAACAGCATTAAAATCAAATGTTTTGCTCATTAATAAAATTTATTCAATATTAATCAAAAATATATTCAATTTATTAATTAAATTCTATTCTCGCATTCAAAATAACACCGTGATATCGAATGATTTACTTATATATATTAGATTAGGTCAAATCAAACATTTAGATTTGCTATTTATTTCTTTATAATACTTTTGCAAAAAAACAAAAAAAAATTAATGCATAATCCTCTGAATAACAACATTTATGTAAGTATTTTAACGAATTCAAAATATATCATACTATTAAACCATTTAAAAATTCGCAATTATAAATACAAAAAATTATTCATATACTTATAATAAATATAAACATTACTGATAGTATTTATTCAATTGAATTTAATTAAATTATTAAAAATTATGGTGTAAACGGATTGCAAAAATGTAAGTAAACACATTCTATATTACACACGAACAAAATGCTGCATTTAAAAAATATAATAAAATGAAAACTAAATATTTTTTTTAATTATCTATGTTGGATTTCGTGTATAAAGTAAAACAAATATAAACTTAATTGTTTTTTTTTTCTTTAAAAAAAATTTTTTGTGACTTGGCACATTCTTAATAAAAATTATTTTGCTATGCATTTAGAGAAAATTAAAAAAAAAAATTTTAATCTACAAAATTCTTCAATGAATTATCGCATAGTTATAAATTTCGAGAAATTTTTATAAACAATTATAATTTTCATATTTGTTTATTTGTGTTTATTGAGGATTTAATTAAAATAGAAAAAAATATATGTACTAAATTCCAAAATTATTACAATAGTTCTTTGATTAAAAATGTATGGGTGTTTAAAAATTATTTTAAAATTATACAAAATTTTTTGACAAAAAAAATAAAGAGATTTATTAATTAAAAATGATTACTATTTAATCAATAATTTCTTTTGAAATGAAAATAAAGTACATTCAATTTCATGATAAGAAGTTAGATCGAATGCTTCTACCATTTTAAGTAAATAAAATAACTACACGTATTATTTTGAAAAAATTCAAAATTTCAATTATTACAAAATTAATTTTTGAAATTATTATACATATAGTGGGACAATTATTGGAAGAATTCATTTTTGGCACTTATCATATTATTTTCATTACATTATTTAATTAATATATTTTTTGTTAAAAATTTTTGAATTAGAAAAATTAATAATAAAAAATTTGTAATTAATTAATGATGCAGCCAAATTTTATTTCATAAAATCTTCTGAAATAGTAAACAATATAAGAAAATTAAAATAATTTTTCAAATTTAATTTGCAAATAAACAAAATATTAACAATTTATTAATAAAATACTATTTTAAATCAAAAAAAATGGATTGTTAAAATTTCATTTACAATTAATGAATTCTTTTTACAATGTTATTGACAAATATTTTTTTTAATAATTCCTATTTAATACGAAAATTTTATTATTTCAAATTTACTGATATTTTCTTAAATATTTTCTAAATATATAATTATAATTAATATTACAATTAATGGACGATAATAGATTTATTTTATTATTTTTTCTCGCATAAACAAAAAAAAATAAAGACCAATTGTAAAATTATTACTTTCACCAAATTTGAAATATTTTAAATAAAATTGTATTTAAATAAAAAACAAAATTAAAGAAAAAATAAAATAAAAATTATTGAAAGTTACAAAAAATTTTTATCACAAATGGAAAATAATTTTGGTTTTTTTTTTTTAATTAAAATTTTGTTTTTCATAAATTTTTTTTTTTTGCGCTTTTTTAATTTTTTTTTTTGTGGGTTTTTTTTTTACTTTTCTTGATTACTTAAAAAACTAGTTAAAAATTTTATTTTTTTTTTTATTTTTTTCTTATCTTAATTTCTAACATTATTCAATAATTCATATTTTATAAAGTAATTATTTATATTTTATACATTATAAATTTTTTTTTAGGGTTTATAAAATTATTTACAATTATTATTTAATTTGTTCATATTATATTTGATTTATTTGATAATTTTTTTTTTTTTTTGGAAAATAAACAAAAAATTGTAATCTTAATAATTTTATTATTTTTTCAGCTTTATTTTATATTGTATATAATATTATGTAAAATGAATGACATGATTTTTTAAAAATTTAAATTTTATACTTAATAGTACTCGTAATTATATATGTAATTTTGTTGAATATAGGAAAATAATAATAGTTTTTGTGATGAAATGTTATAAATTAAAACAAATTCTTAAAATTCATCATAAATTTTATATCAAATTTGTATTGAGTCTACATTTTGTGTTATTATAAATTTTATACATTTTCTTTAATATGCAATTAAAATATTTAATGAAATTTTTTAACTTTCAATTAAATTATAAATTAAAATTATGACAAATCAACTATTTATATAATTTAGATAAATATTATTGCAAAAATTTTAATATCACGATATTTTAATAATAAAAAGTGTATAACTCGTCAACTTAAAAAGAAAAATATTTGCAAAATTGAATTTTTTAATTTAATATAGGTACACATATTATATAATTACCTTAGGTTATACAATACCTGTTCCTTCTGATTCGGAAAACTAAATTATGCTGTTTTACTTTGATATTTCTTCAAAATTTTATTTAATTACTGATAAATAATTCTTTGACTTTTTATAAATTGTTAATTGTAATTTCTGAAAAATTAAGTTTTTGCAAATATTCAATTTTCCTTTTAAGCTAACGTAATTTTTTTGTTGCATAATATAGAAAAATAAAAAAAGAAAACAAATTAAAATCAAAACGTAAATTTATACTTTGTATGTATTTACCATTACAAAACTTTTTTTAAATATAAATTGTATTTTAATAAAACCTAACTTTGTATCATATTTATAAATGCCTTTTGATGCTGATACTAGTACCGGCATCAAATTTATCGTCAAATTAAAAAAAAATTAAAAAAAAATGAGATTTTTATAATTGCATATTTGAGAAACAATAACAAAACACTAGGCATTTAATAAATTAATTTCATATTATTATTATATTTTTTTTTGTTTTTTTTTTTAGAAATGAGAAACCCTAAAACAATTTTTGTTTTAAATAACATTCCTCTGGACGAAAATATGTGCGAAAATATAGTGTTCGTGTGTGTTAAAAAAAAAAAACCAGACCGTTGGCTCATGGTAGACCGATATTATACTTTTTTTTTTTTTGTTTTAAGTAGAGTAAGTATATTGAGAACATGCTAATATTTCTAGTTATGTGTTTATACGCTACAATTTCATTATCAAAGCTTATAGCTTAAATTTTATTTGTACACGTATGTCATTTATGAAAAAAAAAAAAATATTTTAGTAAAGCAATATATCTATATATATACACCTATATTATTCTATATTCATAATTAATGTGAATGAGGTTGTATCTTTTAATTAAGAGCGAACAAAATAAATTTTTTAAGCTTTTAACTTTTGAGAAAAATTGAGTGGTGATAAAAAAAAATCAAAGCGTAAGTAAATATATTTTACCAATATGAATCTGGTTTTTGTTTTTTTTTTTTTCGATAAACAAAATTGAATTACTTACACAACATTATTTTTATCTATAAATTATATATGTATACATGTACATTTTTGTATAAAAAAAATTTGTTAACATATTAATAATACGTATATGTAGAAGGGAAGACGCATACTAGGTGAAATATCGGATGCCTCCTCGGCAAAATTGTTGCCATTTATAAGAAATGTGGATTGCATTCGGTGATCCAGCTGATTTTTTTTTTTTTTTTGGTTTCTAGTGGCGAAGTTTTCCGCCAATTTTTCCATTGGAGGGAGGATTCGGGGTTTGTTAATTGGCCCTTTTTTTTTGACCTAGGGCTTAGTGTCGTGTGAAAAAGCCGCATTGCTGACTAACTTTTATTTCAAAGTGAAAATGAATTATTTATTATAAATGAATGTTATTAAACAAAGTATAGACATTATTTTCAAAGATAACACCATGGAGATAACAACTTGGAACACCATACAGAACACTTTACACCTTTAAATTTTTTTTTCGATAAATACAAAATTTTTGATTTAAATCAAATTAAAATAATTTTTGTCGAAATTGTTTTCATTACTATTATTATTGTTTTTGTTGAAAATATTATAAAAAATGATAATAAAAACAAAACTCTAATAAAGGGTGACTAAATTGAAAAAAAAAATTGCTTTAATAACATTTTTTTGCTATAACAAAAAAAAAAAATATAAAAATATCATATGAATTCAACATGGTCAACATCATATTATAATTGAATAAGCTTTTTATTGTTTCTATAAATTAAATAAACTCAATGTTATACGATTACAAAAAAATTTGTTATATAAAATTTAATATCAAATTGAAAATTTTGAACAGAAAATGTTTTAATGGATGTGAAGTTAAAAAAAATTTTTCATTATTTCAAGCTAAATATTTTAAATGTTTCTCATTTTTATATTAAGATAAATTTTCATATTTTTTATTATTTAATTTTTAATTATGTGAAATGATATAAAAAAATGATTGAGTTATTTATATACTTAGATTTTTTTTATTAATTTAAATTTTTTACTTTTGTTTCTTAATTGTTATTTACGTATTCAATTTTTGATTTATTTGTGAATTATTATAAAATCCTGAGCTGATTTCATTTAAATTAATATTTATTTTTTGACTATAATAACTTAAAGTTAAGTATTTGAAATTTACTAATCGGAGAAAAACAATAAAATATACATAGAAAAGTTTTGAGAATTCTGATGGCCTATAAAATGTGATCAGACTCTAAACACTAATATATTTAAAAAATAAAGAAGAAAATCGTATTTTCCAAAATAAAAGTAGTTTCAGGAGTTTTTTTGCTTTTTTTATTTAAGTTATTTCAAATTACGTGACACAACCACATGTAAATATGTAACGAATTGGAAGAATTAAATTTTGCTATATAAATAAAATATGCATATTTTGTTTTGATTGAATGTTTTAGAAATAATCAATCAAATTCATTATTCAAATTATCGTATTTGAATTAATAAATATACACAAAAATCCTTAATTTTATTTTACCAATATTGTTAAAAAGTAAATGATTATTCATTTAGTATAATAATTGCAATGATGTAAAGTAATATTAACTCTCAAAACTTTAGTTGTATGTTTTTTTTAAATAAATTTTAAATGATTTGTTTTTAATAAGGCACAATAACTATACTTTTAGATAAAATTTACAAAAATATTTAAAATATTGTTACTTTAGAAGTTCTTTTCAAAATTTGGCATTAAACACTTTTCATGCATAATAATTATTAAATAGGAACGAAAAAAATATTTCATTTGGAATGTACAAATTATATTTTAGACTTAAAATAGTTCATCATAATTTTTAATACAATAAGAACTTCAATTGAACTTTGCAAATTTTATCATTTTGACGTATAATGAATATTGAAAGAAAAAATTAACATAAGTAAATAATAAGAGTTATTCTCTTTTATAATAAATTATAGAAAAATATATTTATACATATATGTATATAATATTAACTTTGTGAAAATGGGTTCATTTTAAATGATTTTTCCCGCAACAATCGCTCACAAAACCTAATTAAATAATATTAAAAAAAAAAAAGATAATAATGTAAAGTTTGATTTTTCAAATGTCTTTCATTTCATTATATTTGGCAATTGACATGTTTTCTTTAAATAATTAAAATTCTCTCCTTTATCATCTATTCTATTTTCGTTACAATTATTCGTAATTGAATTACGTTTCTTATAATGATATTTTGTATTTTGTCATTCATTGTACATACCATCAACTAAGAAATCCATTCGCCTATAATGTCTTGTTGACCAGTAATCTTTAATACGACGATAACTGATGATAGCAGCACCCATAAGAATTGGAACAGCAAATATAAATGCAACAATTGGAAGTATGTAATCACGATGATTTCCATGTAAATCTTCTTTAACTGGCTGAACAATCGGTTCTTCAATTGCACCTGAAATAGATAATTTACTATGTTCGTTTTTCTCAAGTTTATTGGCATATAAGCCAATGGCTGGAACATCTTCTTGACTATATGTTATTTTAGGTTTTTTTGGCTTAGGAGTTGTTGTTGTTGTTGTCGTCGTCGTTGTTGTTGTTGTCGTAGTTGACGTTGTTGTAGATGTAGATGTTGAAGTACTAATTCCTTTATTGTTATTTGTCGTCGTATTCCCATTGATTGTGCTATTATAATTAATTTTAGTATTAGATGGTTTAACTATAGTTGATTTTGCTGGTGGATTTATAGTAGTTGTTGAAGTAGAAATTGGATTTAACTTTGTAGAATTAACTTTTAAATTCTTTTTGTTATCTACCAAACTTTTATTATTGCTATTTAAAAGAATTTCGCTTCCACCTTCAAGGTTAATCGTTTGTGAATTAGTCTTTGTTGTATTTTTTTCTTTATTCAGAATTGTTTTAATTGTAGTGGAAGAAATTTTTTCTTTACCATCACTTGAACTGTTTTTAATTTCTGTTGAATTTTTATGGTTTGTTTCAGTTTTATTAAATTTAGTTTGCTGTATGCTTTCTACAGAATGTTTCGATGAATTTTCGCTTGAATTTTTTGGCCTTGATATGGTTTCATTTAAGTTTTTGTACATTAGATTCTTTTCATTGACATTAATGGTGCTGTTTGACGTGTTTTTATTAGTTGTTTCGACTAATTCAACTTTTTTCCTTGCTTTAATATTACTAGGTTTCGAGGTAGCATTTTCCGATTCTGCTAACTTCTCTTTTAATATATCTATTGTAAAATTTTCCTTTAGCTCTGAGGCAAAAGAATTTTTAATTGTATAATTTTTTATTTCATCAATCTTACTAGTAGCACTATGATTATTCTCAGAAAAGCAAGGTAATATCAATAAGATATTACATAATAAAAACAAATTTAAATGTATCTCCATTTTTTCACAATTCACTAATATTTTTTGTTTACTTTTATTATGCGAATTTTTTCTTTATTAATTAATGCAAAACATTATACTCAAAATTAAATAAAAAAAATACTTTCACTACTTAGTTATGTCTGACAGACAAAACGACTGAAAGCTCCACTTCCACTTAATGGAAAACAACAAACCGAAAAAAACTTGAGCAAAATTCAAAAAGTTCCAAGTGGAATGTCAAAAATTGAGTGGAATATTTTGGCATTTGTTAAGTAAAAACCTGTGTATTCACAATAATAAAATTACAAAGAATAGAAAAACTGAAAATCTCACCTATCATGAAATGAACTTAGATATTTAAAAGCTGCACTTTTTTTTCAACTAATTAAAAGCTTTACTATCTATAACATTTAATTTTTAAATCTTACATTTCTAGATTTTACATTTTGACACATTTAAGTTTTGAACCTAGATATGAAACTGAGACAAAACTTTTATAACATCATATTAATATTATCAGCTTAGAAATCCAGTAACTAAAACGATATAAAACTAAAAAAAATCAAAGCTATATTCATTCATATGATTATATTCAGGCAAATATATGATTATAAGAAAGAGATTCATTTAGAATTTTTTCATAAAAACGTCGGGCATATTGTGAATAAGTAATGTGTTGAATTTATATTTTTAGTTGAACTATTGTGAATTCGGTAATGTTTTTGCTGCATATATTCTAGTTTACTTATCTGACATATTAATGCTTGTACAAATTCAACAAATTTACAGCTGACTATTGTTTGTTTATAAATTGTTAAGTACTGAATGTTGGTTTTTTAAATTTTGGTTAAACTGACCAAGTAAAAATTTGTTATAATTAATATATAAAATTTGTATTATATATAAGATATGTATAACTTCCCAAAATTAAATTTTGAATTGCGTGTTTTCAACTAACAAAAGTATTTATTTTTAAACAAGTTATTTTCAAATAAATTTTAGTCTTGAAAATTTCAGTTTTGATTTTGTGAAGTTTTTGGTAATCCTAATAACGTATTGCCCTACTTAATTTACAATTTCTTAGCCAAGTACTTATGTATCAGTTTTCACCAAGAGTTTAAGACACAAATTTAAATATTCCAACATTGGAAACAAGAAATTTACATTTTCTGGAAAACTTAAATGGCACTAACATATTAATTTTCCCCATATAATCAATAGGTTGTACATGATTTAGACAAATTAAATCTAACAGAATATAACTATTTTTAACAATTTTATAAAAATTGTCAGTTTATTATTAACCAGTAGGAACAATCGACAAGAAATTAATACTTTTAGTTTCACTTTTCCTTAGTTTGTAGACGTTTGGTGCTTTTAACATTAATATTTTATACTTATGTATATAAAAAAAAGGTATTACTCTTCTATTTTAGATTTTTTCTCTGGGACGTCTCCACTCACACCAGTGGAACCAAAACCATTTTCACCACGTTCAGTTTCATCAAGAGATTCTTCTTCAACCAGTTCTGGATAAAATATTTGTTCACAGATAAACTGAGCGATCCTATCCCCCTTTTTGACCTACAAAAAAAAAATTATATATTTTTACATTAAGTATCTCGAAATTTTTACTTCAAAATCTGTGTCCGAATGATTAAATAATACAACTCCTAAATTTCCTCTGTAATCCTCATCAACAACACCAGCACCAACGTCTATAAAATTCTTAACTGCTAATCCTGATCGAGGTGCTACCCTTCCATAAGATCCACTTGGAACATGAACTTGTAGATCAGTTTTTACTAATGACTTTCCACTAGAAGCAAAACGAATAAAATAAGGTGTAACAAAAATGTGAAAGTTATGCAAAATCAATAAAAGTAAAATGTAAAATAAAAATGTAATATTTACCGTGCTGGAACAACACAGTCGTAGGCACTTCTTAAATCATATCCTGCCGCTTTAGCTGATCCTTTAACGGGAGCAAAAGCATTATTAGTTAATTTGGCATAACGTAATATACACTTTTCTACGACCATTTTAAAAGTAATTTTTGAATGATATTTTCAGTGTGACGCTCGGAACAATAATAAATGAAATGAAGTTCAATCGAAAAATATTACCTCTTTATATATGTACACTATTAAGCGGTTTTTTGCGCCAAAAACTCGCAAAAAAACCGCGTACAATCTTATTTATTTTATACCGCCCGGTAAAAATTCAATTTACGACCTTCAAACTAAGAACACTAATGACGAAGTGCGTTCTTCACTTATTTTAAGAAAAAGTATTACCGTTGAGAGAAGCATATGACATATTATTATTTTAATGTTCCAATATTCTAATTATGTAACATTCTATAATTAATTATGTGTATTTTTGAAGTTTTCCTTTTATATTTTCTAAAACTATATTTTTAAATATCTGAAAAAAAACCATTAATCTTTATTTCTCAAAGTTGGAATAAAAATTGTATTTTTACGAGATGATGCTGCAGAAAAAAAGTTATTAGAATTAATAATTATTTTCGATTTAAATTACTTAGATTTAAATTAAATGCTAAATAACTGAAAATAAAACCCTTTTATTTTTTTAGAATGACAAATTTTGTATTGTATCTATCTATTTATTATATTATATTAGATACAGTAAAAACACTACTTATATAAAATTTTACCGTATTCATTATCAATGTCAAATACAAATTTACGCTATATCTTGACATAACAAAATATGTGTCAGCTGTGTTTTATACTCAAACAATTTTACTTCGTTTACATAAAAACCTAAATGTTGCTAACGATTCATATACATTTTAGAATTGTCAAAAATCATATTGACAATAAAAAAAACGAATATATTAAAAAGAATAACATTTCACTTATGTGTGTATATAAAAATACCATATGTATCAAATTTGACATATCAAAATGCTGACAAACATACACAAAAAAAAAAAACAAAATTTAGTACAAAAATGAAATATTTTTTAACATTAATGATGTTCGGAAAATTTTGAAAGTCAGTCGTCTTGTCATCTTGCTGCAGTGAATAAGTTTACTGTTGAATAAAAATAAAATTGTAAACATCCGGTCGTTTACATTCTTTTAACCGTATATTTTTTTTTGTATTTGTATCGGGTACTCTTGTGTTTTTTTTCTTCTTTTTTTTTTCATTTTACAAAACATATTTTTTCTTATTTACTTAACATAGAAAAAAGAAAATAAATTATACAGAGAGTTGAATTACAAAAAAAAAAGAGAAATTTGAGTATATTTGGAAAAATCTAAAACAAAAAAAAAATTAATATAGAAATTAAGTGTTATAAAAGTGTGTAATTTAGTTGCTCAAAAATCATATTTAAAAATTGAAAAAAAACCAAACAAATTTATTTATTAATTTTATTTACTTCCATTTAATTATTTAATGATTATTTTTGTTTTTTATAATTTATAATATCCAATAATATTAGTATATTTTGTGTGAAAAAATAATTTAATATCAAAAGCAAAAATGTAAGTAAAAGGATAAAGAAAAAAATTCTCAAAAAAAAAAAAAAATAATAAAAAGTAAATCATAAGGTTCCCACTACAGTATACTTACCTACATACCTTCATATCTGCGAAAAAATATAAAGTTATAGTTAACCTACCTTAATAAAACGTAAAAAGAGTAGTAAAATACAACAATGGAATAAATTTTCCAAAATAACAGCAAAAATACATGAAAAAAATTAGAAAAAGTGTGTTAAAAATTAACGCAAAATAAAATAAAATAATAAAACGTATATTTGTAATAATAATCATAAAAAAAAAAAACCAAAACAAGAAAAAAAGAAAGTTATAAAAAGAAAATTTTATTTTAACCTTCTTTAATAACAGAAAATTCTTTTGACAACGTGTTATTCACTTTTACATTCCACAATATTATATACATAACATACCTACCAACATTTATATATGTATGTATGTGTTTTGAAAATCTTAAATAAATAACTTATTTTTTTTTTTTACTTATATTTATTTTCTGATCAACTCTATAATTTTGAAACCAAAAAGGCAACTTTGTTTTCTTTGAATTTAATATTGAATAATAAAAATCTTGTTTTTTTTTTACCTTTTTACTCCATAGTTCTATGGGCGAGTTGCAAATAGATTTTTCCTGGGGATATCTCTTTTTAGTATAATTCTACAAATATACATATATTGACATACTAATAGTATATATATATATATATATATATATATGTATAAGAATATAGAAACCGTGTTATTTAGAATATTTTTATATTTTGTATTAATACACCTAGGCGTTAACTTTATGTAAATATCTATGTATGTACATATGTAAAGATATCAATTATAAAACAGCTCCTACATTTCAACTTAATTTTAGTTAAGTATTGACTAACTAGTTCTTTTTTTTTGCGCGATTATATTAACTAAATTTCTATTAAGTATACATATATGAACCGGAATTTTGTAATCGCGTTTAATTGTATAGGAACCGGATAAAATATGTAACAATATAGTTTGGTTTATATTCTAGGTATACATATATAATGCGGTATAAAAGTTAACCTACTTCTTATTGTTCTTGAGGGAAGTTTTATATTTTAAGTATATTATAGTATTTAATAGTATTGTACAACAAAATAAATATATAGATAAATATCTTTAAGTTAAACATTTAATAATATTTAAAAATTAATATTTTGTTATACACATAGGTTAGACTTAATATAGGTTAAAATTAATGGTTAAATGTTGGACAATTTACTTACAAGCTATATTTTTGGTTAAATATTTGTATTATTATTTTGGCAATAAATTTATATTGGACACTAAATTTTTGCCTATATATACTTAATATTACTAATATAGGTTCAACATAACTGTTATATACTTAATAATATTTATTACTTTATTGTTATCTAATAAATATATATACTAAAATTGTTTTGTGATAACAAAAATTATTTTGGACAAAATGCATTAAAAGTTATTATTTCCAATTTTTTTTTATTAAATATTTATTGCTTACACACACACTTGTACATATTTTATTTACTATGTAATTATTATCCGGTCGGTGGTTTTTATTTTTACTTGTTTTTTTTTTGTCCTTAATTGAAAAATATTTTATTAAAAAAGTATATTCTAGCCTATGTAAGTAAAATTTAGTAAGTTAATAATATATTAATAAAATAAATTGGATATCATGTTTCTCAAAAAAAAAAAAGAAGAAAAAACAAAAAAAAAAAAAAAAGAAATTTAATATTGAATATTGGGTTATACTTATGGCTTGCTGTTATACTTATACCGTGACATCATTTTCTGAAATTAAATTCGAAATTCAAACTTTTACTTTTTTTGTTGGTATTTTTTTTTGTTCCTTGTATATAGATTTTTATTGCTGTTGTCTATTTAATTTCTGTTTTTTTTTGTTTTATGTTACCATTATTCTTTTTGAGTTTATTTTTTTTTGTTTTGAGTGCGTCTCTCTATGAATGGTTGTACGTTATATACAAGTATGTGCTCCAATTCTATCATTATATTTATTATACTAAATATTTACTTTTATAGACCATATTCTATTTGTTATTTTTTTTTTTTTATAAAATATTATTATTGTGTTATACTTACATACTGAGGTATATTTGTAATCTATTATCTAAAAGTATGTATAGCTGTTATAAAAGTACTAATTTTATATTATTATTAATTTATGGAATAGAAATTGATATAGCAAATTTAGAAAAATATACTAAACAAATCATATAATGGGATATATTTTAAGTGTTATATATACATATATGTGAAAAATGAACGTAAATTGCATAATACGAGTATGTTGATATACATATATGTACATATATTTATGTATATATATATATATCTGAATATTATTTAAGCAAGTCTACTTAACTTCCATTGTCTACTTATATATTAGTTCTAGCGGAATCGAATATCGAGGCGGTATTGCCTCCCAAATATTTAAATGATTGATAAATAATAACAAGAATTCTATATTATTTTTAAAATAATTGTATTGTATGTTTACTCCTGTTGTATGATGCATATACTTAAGGAGGTACATATAAATATTACTAATATGCTTTAATTTGTTTTTCATATTTCATCTGTATGCATTTCTCCTAATTATAATCCATAACTTTGAGGTATTTTAATAAATTAATTCTTAGTTTCAACTTTTAATATTTTACGAGCATTTAGAGTTTTTGAAAAATTTTTTTGCTCGTAAAATTGTTGAATCTGTTTAAATTTCATAAAATTTATTACAGTGTAATTTTTAATTGATACACGGTTATCTATAAGTAGTTTAGTTAAAATATTAACATTTTGTAATAAAATTGAAAAAAATTTGTTAAAATAAAAATAGACTTGCTGCTTTTGATATTATATGTATTATAGAATACACAAAATTTGAACACCAATTTACGGTTAAAAACCATTTTTATTAAATTCTCTAAGATCTTCAAAGATTATTACAGTAATAACGTAATTATTGTTTAAATCTATTGACAACAACTGGAACGTTCAATCTCTATTTATGAAGAGTTTTCGACTCCTACACATACATTAAAGGCATATTCAGGATTATTGTATAGAAGAATAAGCATTGTATTTAATAGACTTGAACTGAAAAATGTTATTTAATTTAATCCAGGTATACAATACATAGGAACAGCGTTTTTTCATTAGAAAAGTAAATATTTTGAATTTATTCTATGGAAAATTAAAAAAAAAATTTAAAACATAAGAAAGATCCAGAATTTTGTTTTATCTGTTTTTTTAAATCATGATGTATATTATTTTTTTTTTTCAATTTTATAATGAATAAAACTATTTTTAGATGATTTTCAATTAAACAATAAGCAATTGAATAAAATATCGCCATAAATAGTATTGATTACAAAAAATTCTCTCTATTTTTAAAACCATACTTAAATATTTAAAAATATATAATTATTTTTAAACTGGTTGAACCACTGAGTATATATAAGCATGTATGAGTATTACATCATTTAAAAACAATTCTCATTGAAAATTATAAAGAATTTTATTTGTATAAAAATAGCAGATGAGTAAATATTTGCTCTTCAATTTTAATGCAATGCATCTTTATGGATTTTAGAGTTACCAAATTTATACAAATTTATTATTCCCCCCAGTTTTGATTTGATATGTTACAGGATTTTTTATAAAATTTATATAGTTTTAGAAAATTAATTAATTATTTATGGTTAAATAATAAATACTATTACTGCTTATTATAGTTATTAAAAAAAATGTTTTAGTAAAATAAGGAAATAATTTTTAAATATATATTCAATTTATAATGTAATACATTCACTGTTGATTTTGATTTGCCGTATTCCTCTAATTAATTTAATTTCATCATGTTTCTATAAGATTTCGTTCGTAATTACTAACCATCTGTCAATAATCAATTATATAGTTTTAGATTCTCAGACACATTGTAAACATATGGCAATGCTCCATGTAATGCCTATATACCATACATTTATTAAACTTTTTACTATATAGTCTATACTTCAATGAAATAAGTATAAAAGTAAAAAAAATATTTATATTTGCAATATAATATTTATTAATCGTCTATTATAAGTTTTGATATATTATAGGAAGTGAAAAAGCAACAAAAATAATTAAAAAACAAGAAAAAAAATTAATAGCTATAAAAACCAACCTCTCAAATTTCTGAATTCTAAAGAAAATTTTACAGTTTATTGTTTTCAAGAAGTCCTACAAGAGAGAGAGCAAAAAATCCTAATTTTTTTCTCATTCTTTAGATATTGTTAAAGATGATACTAGAGCTCAATAATCGAATGTTGACTTCAAAGTGAGGAGGATTGTTTGCTTTGCATTTAATTTCTATTAACACATATAATATTGTTTATGCCCATTTATATACATAAATAATAAATGTGCATAAGGGTATTTATATTATTAGAATGTTTGTAATTCATATATATATGAATAACAACTCTGTGTACAATTAAAGCTAATTGTACAAGTATAAGAACACATAAGAAATTCTTTCATTTAAATCTATATGATCTCTCAATTGTGTATTTGTACATATATGTATGTATGTATTAAACATAATATTAGTTATATTAATTATTAAATTTGTGGTAAGACTATAACCATTAAATACCATAATATTTGTATAGTACTTTATAATAATTGAAGGCCATAATTGTTTTCAGGTTAATTTTTTTTTCTTGTATTTTCCCTTAAGCATTAAAGGTATAAAGTGCATAGACACTGTTAAAAGTTTATTAAACTTTTTAAATAATTGTACGTAATATAATAGATTTCCATTCTTTTATATTCTTCCTTCTTCTATTGTGTACATAATGTTTTTTTTTTTGTATGTGTATTTGACTTGACCAATATAAAGTGATTCTTTATAGAATAAAATAGAATATACAAGTATTTATACAATATGCCCTTTTTTATATTGT